ATACATCCCTCCAGGGCACGAAGATTTTTCTATTTTTTTTTCCTAAGAGTTTGATAGTTTTAGTACTTGTGTTTAGGTAATGATACAGTTTTGGACTCTTAGTTCTACTTTGATGATTTATATCTAAACTTAGCTAGGTCCACATTCTATTGATTTCTGCAGTTTACAGTTTTAAAATTGACAAAGTGTGTACATCTTTCATTTTTTTTTCAAGACAGGATCTCGCACAGTAGCGTAGGCTAGCCTCAAACTCTCCCTCCTCCTGCCTCAGTTTCCCAAGAAGCTGGCTGAACTTTGTTCAACGTGTTTTAGCTATGTTGGATCCCTTGATCTTACATATGAATTTTGGGATCAGTTTATTAATTTGTGCAAAGCAGCAGCTGGACATCTGAGAGTGACTAGATAAATGTGGGGAGTATTCCCCATTTTTTGTCTTTAATTTTTGTTGTTTGGGGAGTACTGTCATCTTAACAATATTGTCTTCTGATCCATGAATTCAAGATATCTTTCCATTTATTTTCATCTCTACTTTTTTTTTCAATGTGTTATGGTTTTCAGAATAAAGTTTTGTGCTTCTGTTGGTTTCTTCCTGTGTATTTTATTCTTTTTGGTACTACTGTAAAGATGGGATTGTTTACTTTTCAACTATTCATTGCAAGTGTATAGAAATACAATTGATCTTCATATATTGGTCTCCTGTCCTGTTTACTTTTGTGTCTTTGTGCTCAGCCCAGTGGGCAGGCACTTCTGGAAAGTCACCCTGGCTGACACATAGTAAACAGGCAGAGAGCGGGGTTGAACTGGAGGCCAGGCCACCAGCTAGAAGGTGACTGATGCTGTAATCAGGGGAGGGGTAAGGGTGGCTGGCCTGGGCAGTAGCAGTGGGGAGAGAGAAGTGGGAGGACCTGAGTCACAGGACTGGGGTGGGTATGGAGAGACTTAAGTATCAAGTACAAGAGTCAACTTTTTGTCTGGACCATGTTTACCAGAGTTGAGGAGAGGTGTGGTAATTTTGTTTTGGATGTGTGGCTTCAATGTGTCTTTGAAACAGCCCAGGAGGCAGTGGAATAAGCCATCTGGAACTCAGAACAGCTTTATAGTGAAATAAAACCTGGGGTTGTAGAGTGCAGAAGGATGGGGAGCCTACCCTGGGCTAGAGCTAAGACATAGCACCAGGAACCCAACATCAGAAGGACGGACAAGGGAAGCTGAGGAGAGGATGATGACAGGAGCCCAGCTCAGTTGGTGGTGGTGGAAATCTAGAGAAGAGGACAGATGTCCCACTGTGTCCACACAGCTCAAGCCTAGGATGATAACCAAGTCTCAAAAGACTAGGGGTGGCTGCAAGGTCCAGAAGTCAACCTGAGGCTGTGGCCTACACAGAGGCTGGGAGGCTGCCTCTTTTTAATGCAGTTAATAAGCAAGCTTTATTGCTCATGGGAGGGGCCAGTGAAGGTGAAGGGGAAAGGTGCAGAGTGGGGGAACCAGGTGACAGCAATGTCCCTGAAGAGATGGCAAGGAGGAAGGAGAGGAAGCCAGGGGCAGCTCAGGTTGAGGAAATGCTCCTGCCCTGGGCTCTTTCCCATGGCTGTCTCTTCTTCCGCCATGCATCCCCTGCTCTGGCCCCCATCACGGGGCAGAAGCAGACGTACTGATACTATATTGTGGTCCTGTGTTATTACACTGAGAGTGGCTTCAGCCCTGGTGGCAGGGCTAACTGGTGTCATGGCTCTGAGTGAGAATGATGAAGAGACTTCTGAGCACTACTTGAATGGCTGACGGGGTGCTGTGGGCTTGGTTCCTCCAATCTGTTGATGAGCAGATTCCTCATTTTTATGGGAGGCAGGTGTCAACATTCCCTTGAAACCTGGGAAGGAGCCATTTTAAGACCCAGTTCCTAAGGAGGTCACACAGACCCCTCATATCTATCTTCCCAACTGTGAGGCAAAGCTTCTTTTCATGGGGGTGGATGGGCCAGCGCCAGGGCTTGGGGACAGGTTCTCAGAAATGGCAGCAAGCCAAATGATGTCCCAGGGGGCCAGCTGGCGGCACAGGTCCTAGGAAGGATGCTTCACAGGAGGGAACCACTGACGAAGCCGCTAGCTACTGAGCCAGAGGGAGGGAGCAGCTGTCAATCTGCCCCTGGACAGGTTCCTGCAGAAGGCCACACCCAGTGACTACTGTGCCAGAGAAGGAGCCTGGGGAGGCCAGGGAGTACCACACAGGGCCTAGTCCCAGAAATGGTTTTCAGCAATGCACCTCTGGTGAGACATCTGCTTCAGCCTTGGCTCAAATAGCCTATTTTATCCACACATAAAAAACAGAAAGCCTGGCCTCCCTTTGCTCAGAATCCTGTTAGTTAGTTCCCTGATTTCAAAAGGTTTTGTCTGCCCAACTGTCTTTGTGGACAGTCATGTTTTTCCAGCTGTCAGCCTGGCCTTGCTGGGATGGTCACTGATGGACGGGGCTCCTGTGCACCAACTAAGAAGTACACATCTCCCTCAGGATGCATGTTCATTGTGGGCTCCCTTTTACAGACTGCTTTGCGTCAGCACACAGTCACAATTGCTGAGTACTCACCATGACCAGGCCTGGTCCAATGATAATCCATCAATGGGGCTACTGTGGTTAGATGTCAGAATGCTTTCGTGGGCTTCATGTCACAGCTACTGGCTGGGCAATGTCTATAATCAGTATGATGGAAGCTCAGTGAACACAAGGTGCAGAAGGCATGTCCTGGGGGCCTGCTGTCTCAGAAGCAGCTTGCTGAAGGAGGCCCATCCTGAGGGGTACATGCCTCCTCCTAGGACAGGACTGGGCACAAGGCTTCGAGGCTCTGCAGGTGAAGCTGTGGTCTGACACCCAAGTCCAGGGTTTTCTAATGCCAAGCCCCGCATTCCGAGGGGCCAGCTCCACAGCTGCCAGAGCTCCCCTTCAGGCTGCTGGGCTGTAGCATTTCTAGCTGAGAAGCTAGAAGCCCAATTTAGCCAGGCCCCTGGCTCCCTCCTGCTGTCTCTCACCTGGCCACCATGCAACCCCCAAGCAGGCCTAGAGCTGCTGCGTGGCAGCAGCTGCTCCATGCAAGATGAATGCTGTCCATATGCCAGATGGAGACAGATCCTAGACTCAAGAAAGGAGCTGGTAAATGAAAGCTGCTCTCAAAGTGTGGCCCAGGACAGCCCTGCCAACATCTTCCTAGCCCTCAAAAGACTTTCTGAATCTGAAATTGGCCCCTACCAGGGGAACCAACACTCACTGAAGTTTGGGAAGCACTGGATTCCATAACCCCCAAAGCCCCTTCCTGAGCTGCTTTGGTATCTCCCACCTTGAAGATTTAGGATGTCCCCTCCCTACTCTTCATGCCTTGCTCTGCAGACACCTTTGCTGACCCAAGGGCCTACTGACAGACACTCTAAAGCTCCATTTCCTTCCATGCTCCCAGGACCTGGTGAACCGAGGATCATGCTGACATCACTACAGGTGCACAGCACAAGCCAGCAGAGCATTGTTCTGTGCTGACTGGACCATACTGATCAGAGCCCTGGACTCCTTATCTTCCCTCCAATGAGGCCCGGGCTCTCATCTCTGCTCTGACAAATACTGGCTGGAGGTAGGCAGCAGGCAGTGGTATAAATATTTTTAGGCTCCAGTCCTTGTAGTTTTCAAGGCAGGGCTTTGGATGGAAAATCACAAGCCAGTACGCCGAGTGAAAGGCCAGCCATGGAGGACATTGTCCAAGTCACTCTCAAGCAGCTGTACCAGGCAAATGAGCCCAGGGTGCAGTGACACAGTGGGGTTTGTGGCAGCTCTGGATGGGGCGGTTCTGACTGGGAAGGGGGCATGGGCTTCATGGAGTGATGAGTGTGTTCTATGTGGACTGGGGTGGAGGCCATAGAACCACATACACATTTGTCAAAACTTAACAAACTATGCAGTTTTAATAGGTGATTTTTACTGTATCAAAAATACAGCTCAACTTAAAATACTTCTAGTAAAACAAGGGGTTAGGGACCAAAAGGCTCTTACAACTGCCTGGAGTCCAACCTGGACCCTGATTCCTATGGGGCTAACCAGTGTGATGCCGGGAGGAGGCAAACTGAAGCCTGATACAGTGGGGCTTTTGCCCCAAGTCTCTGCTGGACCTTCCTCTGGTGGAAGTGGTAGCAGTGGCAGGTCCTGACTCAGAGGGTGGGCAGGACATGGGTGACCTGCGATTGCATCTCGGTGGTCTGCACTTTCCCCAGGCTGCACAGGCCTGCCGACAGAGAGCTTCTAGCAGGCGTCACTACTGTAAGTGGGAGCGGTGGGGGGCAGCTAGCTAATTTAATGAAGGAAATGACACAGGGAATCGTGAGAGGGAGGTGAAGGAGAAAGCACCCAGAAGTGAGCAGCCCCTCAGATCAAACACATGCTTCTGGGGGAGAATCTTTATTGTACATGTCTGCGTACAGTGAGCGTTCACCCATCCACCGCCCAGCTGACCCCACACCCATTCCCTGTGTACATAAATGCCCCACATGATCATCAGTGTTAAAAATACTCACAGCCCCTTCTGACCCCCCAATCTAACCAGGGAAGCAGGTTATGGAGAGACCCCAAGCCTCCCCAGGTGAGACTTACTTCTTGGTTATACAGTCTGACTTTTTTAGAGGTCAAGTGACTATGCAAAGGCAATTTATGATCTGCAGAAGCTACTTGAGGAGTCAAGAGCCCTCTTGTGTGGACAGCATTTGGGGCTCCCTTAGAAATAATGCTAAGAGAGTGGGCCCTCTTCTTTCCCTGTTTGATTTGGTTGTTCATTACACACCTTCAAACCTGACCTCAAAATCAGTTTAACTGGAGGTATAGCTCAACTGGTACAGCATCTGCCTAGCAAGCCCAAAGCCCTGAGTTCAAACCTCAGTACCACCAAACAAAACCCCCAAAACCCAGTGTCCTGTCTTGAGGTGACTTAGCAAATCTGCTTCACTTTGTCCTTTACTGATGTCATCCAGAATCCTTCCTTCCCAAATGGCCTGTCTACAGACTTCCTGCCATCAGAACCCATTAGGTCTTGAGGAAACATCACTACACCCTCTCCCCCGCCATCTCTCCCTCATTGTGCTTTCTTCACACAGCATCTCAGGGGCTGTGCTTGTCGCCACATCCAGGCAGTGAGCATCTGAAAGCCCACCTCTATTCCAAGCATAAACCAGGCAGAGGGCATATGTGCATTGCCAGGCAATAGCAGAGGCTCTGGGGAATTTGGAGACTGGTCAGCTAGCCTACTAATAATCACATTCCAGGAGGTGACAAGGATTAGCATGGACTCAGACGGATGATGTCTTTTAAAAACTCTGGGCCAGAATGCCCTAGGTAATACTGTAGTAAAGAGATCTTTTAGAACATTTGGTATGTTCTAAATAAATACCTTTTGGATAAACTAAGAGGTATCAAGTCAAAGGCTAACGGAAGGCACTAACTTACTGAATCCTTAAAGGGGGTGGCAGGGCAAAGCATAGACGATGGCTGGCCTCCTGGATGTAGTGTTTCGTGACGTGTTGCAAGGCAGGGAAGACCAGAGAGAGCACAGGTGAGGGGGCGTGGAAATAGGGCTGGAGGAGGGGCTAAGATCTGAAATTCAGCAGCTTGGCAGCAGGAAGCATAAATTCCCTGTGGCCTTCCTGGGTGTATGGAGCCAGTCCAGCAGCTGCATCACACTGCCTAGTGCTCTAAGAGACATCCTTGAAGAAAGTGCCTCAGGATGGAAGAAGATGGCCAGAATGCCGTGTGCAATTAAGGGTGTCCTCAATCGCAGACTGCCTCTTGTAGTGGACTCTGGCAGGGATTAAATAAGATAGGTGTTTCAGTGTGAGGAAAGACCGTCGCATGTGGTCCAAAGCAGTAATATGTAGCATTAGTGCACTCTCTTGATGAAATTCTCCTTAGCTTAAAGATTTATCCTGCAAACAGCTGCTTGGAGAAAATGCTGCAATGCACCAAAGCCTTCAGCCGGCATTCCCAGTGTAAGCCTATGTGCAATCAATAGGAGCAGGCAGAAGGAGGTGGAGGGGAAGGAGAGGGAAGGAGGAGGGAAGAGGGGAGGCAGAACAGAGATCCCAATGAGATCATAATGCAGGAGTTCAAGTCTCCCACCGCCTCACGTGAAGTGGACTTGGGAGGCTGTGCACTGCCTTGGCTGGCTGGACATGGGGTGGGGGCAGGGGGTACTTTGGAATTTTACTCTGAAGTAGTTTCTTGAAAGAAAACTGAACCGACTCAGGCCATGATCTGAGAAAGCCTCTTTGATACTGGAGCAAGCTGCTCCTTATAGAAAGAAGTGCCAACTCACCAGAGCCATAGTGAACATTATAATCGGCCTGCTACTAAAATTTTAAAGTGCCAAGAGACCAAGACATAGGCTGATTGAGTCCTTGCACACTGTTAAGAACCAGGATAAGATATATGATGGTTCCTGTTGTACAAGAAATAATTTTCTAGCAAAATACACACTCTGTGAAACTTCATAGCCAGCAGTACTTCCAGTCCACATCAGATTCTCAAAGGAAACATGGACATTTTGCGTAGGCAGACACAGGGAGTAGGAGTACAAAGAAAAGATAAAAATATCACCAAGGACTCTGTGATATGAGCCCCATCTTTTCTGCCCGGTTCCTGAAATACTGCAAGCGCTTCATTGTTCAAACACTGTTACAATGAGCCCAGTGGACTGTGAGAATCAGGCTGCATGGAGGTGGCTTGTTAACTGGTGCAACTACTTGACTTTGGGCCCCAATCAGTCATCTTTACTCAAGGGTAGAACTAAACACTGGGTTACAGCTATTAAGTGATGGAGAAAAAAAGAAGACAACTGACAGAACAGGACAGACAGCGCAAGGGTTTTTTTTAAAGTCTGGAACCTATGTTTGTTACATTTCCCAGTCTTGGACTAGGGTTTTGATTTTTCTTACCCACCAGTCGAACTTCAAACTTTCCAACAGTCACAGACCAGGACATGGGCAGGAAAATGCTTGTTAGGAAGGCTGAGGCCCACCTCTACTGCTGTGACTGCCTGATCTCACATCCTGCTCCAGAAAAGTGAGACCATCAAACTACAGCCACTCAGCCAACACAGCAGTGAGTCTAGAGGTATGGTTGGGATGTGAAGAACACCCAACGCTTGCAGGCTAATGTGCTAGTCTGATGGTCGAGGCTCTAGCCTCTTCCTGGTTCAAGTGCTGGTACTCACACATTCATTCCTCCATTCATTGGCTTCCTTGCCTTAAAAACCCAGCGTGTGAAATGAGGACGCCTCCATGGAGACCCTTCCTAGAGGGGAGGCCTCATCACACCTTCTTTTTCTTGCCAGAGTCTAGCACCTTGTCAACAACATCTGCTGACAGGGAAATAGCAAATGTGTCCCTCTGGGAGACATGCCAGGGGAGGTTTGGTGGTCAAAGTGTGAGCACATTTCTGTAGCACTAGTAATGTTTATGTGCAGAAAACAAAGTGTTAAAATATTCCTATCTTCTTTCCGACAATTCTCTTCCCGTCATATAAGCCCCAAGTTAACTTTAAAATAAAAACAAGAAAAAAAAAGTCCTTTAAGTGAATCCTTAGGGCCTACCTATCCTTCTCCTGAGATGAGAAGATAGACACATGCTTCCCTAAAACACCTGTGGTGAGGGGGTTGGTGGGGTTGGTGGGGCTGGTAGGGCTGGGTAGCACGGAAAGGATAGCTGTTTCCTCACTGGCCACTAGGATGTGGAAATAGCACAGCTGGGTTGGGGTAGGATGGAGGACAACTGTTTTCTGAGTAGAGATTTCTCAGGTTCCCAAACCTAAGAAAGTGAATGTGCCCACAGGTCCCAGGATTTCTGACTGACCCTTCTGAGCCAGGAACTGTTGACTATTACTCCCAGAAGACCCCTGTCCCTTGCAGGTATGACTCACCAGCAAGCCCAGGCAGAGTGAGGCTTGAGTTTCTGGAAGCAACCTTCCCTAACCAGCATTAAGAAGCTTTCCTTACAGGGCCATGTGCTGGTCACTTATTAAGCTCTCCATCACAATGGACCTTTGGAGCTCATCCCATTACTCAAAGGATGTGTCTCCCAGCTGTAAACTCTTCACTGTGGTCAGCTACCAGCATTTCTTCCCAGGCTCTGAAGTGTGGACAGGACTTGCTGAGTTCCTGTGAGACCTCACTATTCCAAATCCCCAAGAGCAAACTGCTATCTAACTGCACTGATTTTCTTCACATACAGACCCTTGGAATATGGGGACCAATTCTGCTTAATATTTCTAATTAGAAATCCTGCCTGGCTTATAGGAAAAGCTTTTCAATGTTAACGTTTGCCTATACGTAAGTATTTAAATAAAGCTTAAACACTACCTTTTCTGCCCTCAGCTATTCCCTAAGGAAAATTCCTCCCAAGTTCTGATCATAAATAATAGACACAAACAAAAAGAGGAGAGGAAAGAAGGCTGGGCCACTCTGGGCCAGCAGAGAAGGCAAACAGCCAGGAAAAGTACCTAGGAGAACACTTTTTGAGACTGAAGATGCAAATCTTTCCCTCCATCAGGCAGAAGAGAATACACTTGAGTCAAGACGCCTGTATCCCACAGCACAGCTGTGTTCTAGGGCCACGAATCTGACAGTGACACATGTCCCTCACAGGACAGAGTCTTTCTGCACACCACACCCCTGGTCAGCTCCTGGTCACAGTCAGGACCTGGGACAAATATCTGGGGTGATGCTCAGGGTCAGGAACCAGGGCGGTGCTGTGTACTGCACGGGCTTTCACAAATCATTTCATTCATCTTTGCCCCCAAAGATGCAATCACACTCTTTTTCCCTTCTTTGACCATTTCCCAAAGCAATGCCGTATGCCACTGGCTGCAGCAGATGGCCCCCCACCAGGCACCGCTCTGCACTGTAGCACTCAGCTGCCACCACACACACCTAAGCTCCCAAGTAAAAAGGCAGATTGAAGACAAGCGCTCCCTTCCTCCTCCTCTCCACGCTCTCTCCAGAAAGACAGTCCTGGCTCCTCTAACCAGCCGCAGACCCAGTTTCCCTAAAAGAGCACAAAAATGGGTGTCCTCACACTTTGCTCCTGGCCACGAGCTCTGGCACTGTCACCATGGGAGGTGCCCAGAGTTCACTGTCGTGACCTGCATTTTGTTCCTGGCCACGAGCTCTGTGCTGTCACCGTGGGAGGTGCCCAGGGTTCATTGTCCGGACCTGCTCTTGCTCACCAATAGGACTAAGAATAAGGTAGATGTTTCCTCCAACAGTGAGCCCTCCATGCTGGCTCTGTCATGCTGTGCCTTCCCAGTCACCCTGGGGCTCCACATTGCCGTTAGTCACCTTCTTGACTTTCTTCACATTCTCCATCACTCCTGACGTCGTCACTCTGAAAACGGGAAGAAACAAAAACCATTAGGGAAATCTCATGTCTTCTAACAAAGCACTGAGTAGTGAGTCTGAATGGGCAGGTCTGATGGAGTCCTGCCCTCTCCTTGCTAGCCGCGGAGCACTGGCCAAGTAAGTCACTTGCCCTTTCTGAGCTTAAGATAATAAATAACTCACACTTTCCAGAATGGTCATGAGGAAAACCATTATTTCCCGAGAGCCTACTCAATAATCACAGGTTGTCTGCACAACAGCAAGGCTGGACAAGCCGTCACTATAGCCAGCATTACCCATATATCATGGCATGGCATGGTTGCACACACGTGCATTAGGTTATGAGACTAACATCTGCATCACAATTAATGTTCAGAAGAGAAGCTCACTCGCTGAGCAGACGTTTCGCATCAGCCACAATGGGTCATTTTTGGTGATGGGGCAGCACTCTAGGCTTGGAGACAGATTCCTTGGCCATCATAGACAGTAACCAGCTGCCTTCTGCACACTTGGGCCGAACTTCTGCAGGCTGGGAGCACAACCATCAGTCTGCATGCGGCCTTTGCCTTCTCCCTGTGAGGGCCAGGAATGGGCCTATTTGTCCACTAGTGCCAGGCACTGAGGAGGCCCATGGAAGCTAGGCAGTGAAGGCAAGAATCAAAATCAGAACGTTGGCCTTAAAAGGTCTGAGGAATCAGGTGGGGCAGCCCTCCGTGGGAGGGCTGAGGTCTCTGGGGTGAGAGTCAAGGCCACCCAGCCCTGCTGCCCATGTGTGCCCTGGGTGCTCCGCCTCTCTCTCACTGACTGGCTGTAGGTGCTGCAACTGCTTCGCATTCCCTAGCTGCTCCAGGAAACCATGGGCTTTCCCCCCATGCTGTTGCCTGGCACAGCTCTTTTTGGAAACTTTTCTGCCCTCCTCCCACACCTCCCCCTGGCTGGCCGGCTCCTCTTCATCTTTCAGTTCAGGATTCCAAGCTTCCCTCCCCCAAGCAGAGCCTAAGCTGCTGCTCTGGAACCTTCTCCACTGGGCTGTGGCCTCCCTCACAGCAGCAGGCACTGAGGGTCAGTTTTGGGAGCAGCAAGGGAACTTGCATTTCAAAAGCACTTTACAAGCCGGGCACCGTGGCTCCAACTGTAATCCTAGCTACTTGGGAGGCAGAGATGAAGAGGATCAAGGTTTGAAGCCAGCTCTGAGCAAAAGTTCATAAGCCCCTATCATGAAAATATCCAACACAAAAAAAGGGCTGGCGAAGTGCCATAGTGGCAAAGTGCTTGCCTAGCAAGCATGAGGCCTGAGTTCAGACCCCAGTACCATCAAAAAAAACTTTATAGGTGAATGGACAGCAATGGAAGAGACTCAGAAGCCAGGACAGCGGCCCTAAAGGAGCAGGGCATGGGCAGAAAGAACGGAGTGTCCATGTTTGCTGTTTGCCATCAAAAGAGAGCTGAACACAGTTCTTTCTACCACGCCAGGCTGCAATCAAATGTGGCTTGGGCTGAAGCAGCCCATGGACGCATCTGTTCTAAAGCTAAACATATTTTCTGGACCTAAAATTTGGAGAGGCCTGCTTGGGTAAGAGGTAATTCTGCTGATCTCTGATTCTTCAGTTTCACCTATGGAATGAACACAGGAAGTAGTAAAGGTTAAAAGAACCTAGAAGACAGCATTCTGGAATGGGAACCACAGGAAGACAACTTTCCAGTCCCTATGCATTTCTTCCTCTGCACTTCTCCAGCTGACAGAAACAAACAATATCATGAAGGATATGCATATCAAAAGAAGAAATTCAAATGGCCAAAAACACATGAAAAAATGCTCACCATCTCTAGCAATAAAGGAAATGCAAATTAAAACCACACTAAGATTCCACCTCACCCCTGTTAGAATAGCCATCATCAGCAACACCACCAACAACAGGTGTTGGCGAGGATGCGGGGAAAAAGGAACCCTCTTACACTGTTGGTGGGAATGTAGACTAGTACAACCACTCTGGAAAAAAATTTGGAGGCTACTTAAAAAGCTGGACATCGATCTACCATTTGATCCAGCAATACCACTCTTGGGGATATACCCAAAAGACTGTGACACAGTTTACTCCAGAGGGACCTACACACCCATGTTTATTGCAGCACTATTCACAATAGCCAAGTTATGCAAACAGCCAAGATGCCCCACTACCACTACTGACAAATGGATTAAGAAAATGTGGTATCTATACACAATGGAATTTTATGCAGCCATGAAGAAGAACGAAATGTTATCATTCGCTGGTAAATGGATGGAATTGAAGAACATCATTCTGAGTGAGATTAGCCTGGCCCAAAAGACCAAAAATCGTATGTTCTCCCTCATATGCGGACATTGATCAAGGGCAAACACAAGGGAATTGGACTTTGAGCACATGATAAAGCAAGAGCACACAAGGAAGGTATGAAGATAGGTAAGACACCTAAAAAATTAGCTAGCATTTGTTGCCCTCAACGCAGAGAAACTAAAGCAGATACTTGAAAGCAACTGAGGCCAACAGGAGAAGGGGACCAGGAACTAGAGAAAAGGTTAGTTCAAAAAGAATTAACTTAGAAGGTAACACACATGCACAGGAAATCAATGCGAGTCAACTCCATGTATAGCTATCCTTATCTCAACTAGGAAAAGCCCTTGGTCCTTCCTATTATTGCTTATTATCTCTCTTCAACAAAATTAGAGATAAGGGCAAAATAGTTTCTGCTGGGTATCGAGGGGGTGGGGGGGGGAGAGGGAGAGGGTGGGGGGGGGAGAAATGACCCAAACATTGTATGCACATATGAATAAAAAAAAAATTTAAAAAAAAATGATATGCATAGCAAAGGAGGTACTCCCAAGTCTAGAAATTAAAATTCCATCCAGTACTTTTTAATTTGCTGAATATTTTACAAGTCTGTTAGCAAAACTGAGAGACCCAAGGAGAGATGTAAAAGAAACAGAAGGGAAAAGGAAAGTTCGTGTTACCTCTGATTGTACCCCTCCTTCCTAGGCCTAGACAGCGTGTCTGTAAGCCTGAGAGGGGGGATGGGGGGGACAAGGAGGGTGATGGCTGTAGGACTGTACAGGCAGTCCTGGAAAGGCCAGAGAAAGGTTGGAAACAGCTCCTCTGGAGGCTCTCCACTGTCAGGGGAGCATGGCTTAATCCTGGGATCCAACTGACAAGACTCAATTGCCTGAGAGAGCTGCCCTCCCACAGCTCAGCTGCAAACAAGAAGGGAGAACACATGAAGAGAAGCTATGGGAGGCAATGGAGTGGCACAGGATGTGATTTTTAGGAAGGCTGTGGACTGTGGATTTGTTTGTGGGGGGTCGGCGTAGAGAACAGAAGCTGGGAAGGCACAGGAACAATCACTTCCCGTAAAGAGAGGCTCTGCTCTGTGGGAGGAGCAGACCTGGTAGCCTTTTAAAGGAAACACCCACCAATGTGCTGACACTTTTTGAGAGCTAATGACCTTATAGATTATTGAGGCCAGGGTTCTGCTTGCCTCTGGCTTGGGTTATTTCTGGAGAATTTAAGAGGTGCCATCCAGGAACAGCACTTCCAAGCAGAAGGAGATGACAGCCCAGGCACTGTGTCGTCCCTGAGAAGCCATAATGAACCCACACACTCACTGTAGGTGAGCACAGCTGAAGGCGCGTGGCAGAAGCTCCATGTGCAGTGGGTTCTGCTCTGTCTTATCCTATAAGTACACAGAACTTTCTCAGCAGTTTTTTTTTTATTTCTGGTGCCAGAGATGCACACAGGCCTTGTGCATGCTGGGTAAGGACTCTATCCCAGCCCAACAGCAGCTTCTCAGCTAAAAAGAACATCCGATGCAGTTTCCTCACTGAGTTAAAGGCACTTTACCTCGATTGGCTCCTGAACTGTGTTTCATATTATAAGCCAGCTGAGCTGGTGCTCCCTAGCAAAACCACTGTCCTAAATGTAAGTCCTTGGTTGGGCTCTGTGGCTATGACACATGAGGCCCTTCTGTCACTGCAGAGCCTTCACCATTCTGACAGTCTGGCTCTGTGAAGTCCCAGAAAACACTTAGCATGATGGCACACTCTTCCTTTGTCACAGGAGTATAAAAGTTGAGGCCACCAACGCATCAGGCTGTGACTCCAGCATTCCAACCTTCCCTACATCTTGCCAGAATACAGAACATAACTCTCAAATTCCCATGAGTCTAGTGATTGGTGCACCTACTCTCCTTTTTCCTCCAGATTTTTTTTTTTTTGGAGGGGGGCAGGCAGTACTAGGGTTTGAACTCAGGGACTTGTGCTTACTAGTCAGGGGCTCTACACTTGAGTCATACCCCTAGCCTTTCCCTTCCGATTTTAACACACATAGACTGGCTTGCTAAACTCTTTACCGCTACTGTCAAATACTGTCAGAGAGAAATAAACACCAAACCAAAACTCTGACCAATTTTGCCTTGAAATAAATGCAGCCTCTCTTCAAGACACAACAGCTGAGGGAAAGGACATGGGAAGCAGGAGCTCAATCCATGACATCTTGCAGTTAAATCCAGCGGAGGGTGCTATAACCCAGCCACTCAGCATCTAACTGCCGACTCCAGAGACCCTACCAAGCTCTGGTAATTTTTGGTTAGTTACTGGGCCACTGATCACTAGTTGACTCCCCTCTGCACCTCTTTAAACAACAAGCACTTGCTCTGATTCTGCTACTTTTGGAGAAGGCACAGCGGATGGTTCTGCTTGCCCTACTGTCTGTAAAAAGGCATCTTTCTTTGCACAGTGAGGTGCTGTTAGAGCCCACCATCCGCAAGACCCACCTTCTAGTCATTGTTTCAGTGAAGCAGACAGCATGGCCTGACCTGCCTAATGGCCAGGCAGAACCCAGAGTGGACGAAACCTCAGCCTCTGAACTGAAAAGGCAAAAGGCAGCTACACCAGAGTAGTAAGCATGAGAGATCTCGGCCTGCAGGTGATCGCCACATACGGCAACTGACCCAGTTCATCAGACTGAGCCAACAAGCAAAGATGCTGATAATGAGTCTTTTCTGGAAAACGATTCCCTTTCTCAGAAAATAAGACCCCAGAGTCCTTCCCCTGTGACTCAGAAAAGTGTGAATCAGGGCTCGGATGCAGGACAAAGTCACTGAGGAAGCTGTGAACAGCCACTCAGTCATCTGATACAGAGGACATTTGAGGAGCAGTATCAGGCTTGCAGAGGACTTCGAAGATGACATTTTCAGGCAGAAACTGAAAATAAAGAGCCTGTGCCCTGCTGCCAGTCGCTCTGAACTGGCTTAGGGTAGTCCAGAGCTCTGGCCACTGTGCTATTGGGAGCTGGCTCCAGTGACACTTATCAGAGTGGCAAGTTCTATATTCCCTGACAAAACTGAGCAATGGCTGGCAGAAACCACACCTCATACTGGCTAAAAGCACCTGGGCTCGAACTTCCATGTCCTGCTAAAAGCAGAGGAGCTGCCTCTGGAATGGCAGTGTTGAGAGCAGCAGGTCCACCTTACCCCATGCCACGTTCAGTAAGGCAAAGGGGTCAGGGCAAAGGAAGAGAGGGCGAAAGGAGGTGTCTTACACAGATTCCATTTCCAAGTCATCGTCTTCCTGAGACAGTTGTAGGTAGGGGTTATCTGAAGCCGGACGGAATTTATACCCCGTCAGAACAAAGAACACCAGCGTGGCTGTCTCGTCCAGGAGCTGTGAATTTAAAAACCACCCCAAAATAAAGGGATTAGCAATACTGTTGTGCAGAAAGCAGTGGAACTAAGCAGACTGACATCTCCCCACCCAGCACTGCCCTGCCCCATTAATTTACCGCCACTATTGGCATTTCCACCATTAGTTGAGGTCCGAGCCAGGAGCATCCTACACTGAGGGGCCTTCCTTTACATGGTCTCCACGGGGCTCCATTTTTGTTGTTAGTTTTTTTTCTTTAAATAAAGTGTCTTGCTATGTAGTCCAAGCTGGCCCTGAACTTTTGATCCCCTTGCCTCAGCCTTCTGGGTGCTAGGATTACAAGCATACACCACCACACCTGGCTATACTGGTACCTTTGAGAGCCTGTTTTATGCCCACACTATCTTATAGGGCCTAAAGCACCAAAAATTCCTCGAAAACAAAGGTCTCTTAACTATCTGGAGGCTGACTCTGACAGTTAATCACTTCTGGAATTTTGCAAACACACTATGATTAAAATAATAGTAATATTAGGAGGGGAAAGCTGGATTCTAAGCTATCGTAAGCCCTATAACTGAAGGAAAAGACCACATCTCACCTATGCTTTAATTACACAGGGCAAATCTTACTCTCTCTGCCCAAGGCTTTTCTCTTCTAAGTCTTTTAAAATTTAAAACAAAAATCAATACTGCAATTATTTCCAGACTTCTCATGTAATCTGGCAGTTTTCCTGGACAAAGAGACAATCCTAATTGTAGGCTGGAAGAGATGGAAGGTCTTAGTGATCATTCCCAGATAATTAAAAGCAATCTTGAGATTCTACCCTCAGACACAAACTCTCAGCAAACTCTCACAAACTCTCACAAACTCTCTATCCCCAAGGACGGCATACCTGGTACAGCCACTTCCACTGAAATGGTACAGCAAACTTAAGGAGAAACGCAATGATCCTGGTGAAGTATATATAACATACAATCTGTAAGATAAGACAGGGAAAGAAACGAGAAAAAAAAAAACAACAGAGAAATCTCGGTACAGCTCTCTTCCAATAATTTCCTTTTACAAATTAACTACCAAACAGAAAACAGAATTATCCAAAGAAAATTATTTGACATGGTGCTAATTACTAAATGCTGCAGAAAGGATGGGCCCTTGCCAATCACACTTGAGAGGGTTTTTGCCACTATCTTTAGGTGACCAGACATTGATCATAACCACCCCCACTGGAGGGCAAGGCCCACCTCACTTATCTACACACAAACCTTCTGATGTCAGTCTCCAAAGGCAACTTTTTATTCCCGGACTTGGAGGATTAGTTACCAGCAGGAATAGCAAAATAAAGGCCCACAGGGAAAACGCTGACTCTGGACTCTTCACCAGCAGCTGCTGTGAACATCTGAGATCCACACTCCTAGGACATATTGGTACCACGTACTCTAGGAGGGAGGAGACCCTCACTTCTCCTGACTATGACGGGAACTGTGCCCTGGACCAGACTCAGGATAGCCAGGTTTGTAGGCAGGCAGTTTGGGTTCTAGACATGAAGGCGCAGTACCCCAACCTGGCTGTTGAGGACCACTCTCCTCACTGTCACTGCTTGTATTAAGAAAGGCTCTGTGGTGACACTTGTTCTGGTGGATGACACAAAACACAATACACACACAAGCGCACGTGCACACACACACATATGGGGAGGAGGGGGATGCGGGAAGATCTGAATAGATCACCTGTTCTTGCTTTTCTACTGAAGTCTCTGATGTTTGCTCAGGCAGAACTGTCCAAAGTGACAGCAGAGCCACAGCCCCAGAGGGAGGATCTGGAAACTTCCTTTTAGGAGTCAAGGAAGCAAACTCTAGAAGATGCACACCCACATTACAATCCCACCAATTCACAGCAAGCTGTCTTGGGTACTATGCTTTTGCTTTTGGGAGTCCTCATGTCCATCACTGTCCTGATTTTTGCTTTTACAAAGCCTTCCTGAGGAAGGTGAGGGAGAAAGGGAAGGCCGCTGAGTGGAGAGGATGGGAGGTGTGTATGCTACATATACTCAGAGTGGGTGAACTTGTTCAAGGTACACTGCATGCATGTATGGGATTACCACAATGAAATTTCCCATATTATTAATGTATGATGAATTAAAAATAAAATTAAGGGCTGGGATGTAGCTCGGTGGTATAGCACTTGCCTAGCATGTGTGAGGCCCTGGGTTCGAACCCAGCCCCAAAAGAAGAAAAGACAAAAAAAATTAAATTAAATTAAAACATTTAAAAAAGATAGAGATATTTATTTAAAAAATAAACCAGTGGAGTTGCTTCAGGAAATGAACCTGAACAGATACACACACACAAACCTACCTCAGGTTCTGTACAGGGAAGCACCTTGTTAATGGGCAATACTCAAGGGCAGTACTAGCAACGAAGCTAGAGAAGAGTAGGAACCCCCACAATTTTAGTGGGGGAAAGGCCACATGAGAGCATTTAGACATTCCCATTTCCCTAAATGAATAAAAATGGCACGTGGAAGGAGCAGCTGGGTCTGGCCAGCGCCTAGGAAAGCCACAGGGAATGAGCAGGGCATGGAGGTCACTGCCTTGGGGAAGGGGGAAGATGAGTCTCTCCAGAGCCAGTGCTCAGCCTCCACCACCAGCGGTTTTGTTTTCACATCAGGCAAATATAACTCTTCTAAGCAATTAAAGCCCAGCCTAAAACTAAACTTAAACAAAGAAGCCCAGATATTTCATTTCCATTCTGAGACACAATCTGAGGTCATAAAGCAAGGCCCACATATGCCCAGGCATGTGCTTTTGCCATGTTTCTGTTCATTTGCTCTGACCCGGGAATTAATAGTATTTACAGATTCAGAATTCTTTTTTACTCACCAAGACGTAGTAATGTCTGAAAAGTTTCAACTTTGCTAGGTTAATAGCAGCTAGAGAAGAAAGAACAAAACCAGAAGCTCATTAATGTCTTTTCTCATTCATTCATTTAGGTCTCCGTATGTGGCCCCAGGCCAGTCTCAAACTTCCAGGGCTCAATGAACCTCCCCAGCCCCAGCCACAAGTAGTTGGACTATTGCACCCAAACATTTTAAAAATACTGTCCTATTCAGGGCCCCCTCAGCCCAGAGGCAAGCCCACACTGGGAAGGAAAGCAGGGCAGTCTCCCCACACCAGGAAGAAATGGAGCAGGCAAGCGTGTGCCAGGGCATGCTCCTCAGGACACCCCTGACTCTGGGAGACAGCTATGAGACACCACGGTGGGAGCACCCCCCACCACAGACATCAGACGCCACGCTGTCAGGGCCAGTGCCAACCACTCCAGCTCTGTCACTGCATTGGGCTGGGAGGGGCAGCTTCCCTCCACTAGGGCTAGCACCAGGCAGGCCCAGAGCACCATCTGGGGGTCTCCCACCAGCCAAGGGGGCAAATTCAATTAACCCTCAGAAGCATTTGTCAATTGCACTTCAGTGTTCACTAAGTGCCTCATGTTAAGCCCTTTAAGTAGACCCTCTCTAACTATGGCCTACCTTCATATGTGTGCAAGGTCAGCCAAGCTAGGACATCCAACTTCCTGACACTGCCTATGGCTATGAAATATTGATGACCACAGAGAGTAGCCTGGCTCCCTCCCCGATTAGCAATCCTCTCATTCATCACAACCCTCCTGGCAAGAGGCAAATTAATTTTGCTTAATAGCATTCAATTACAGATTCAGTTTAAGAATGGGACTGTGGGTGGCAAAGGTTCAAATTTCCTCTTCCTCTCCCCTCTGGCTCATGATTAGTGGGGGACAATTCAGTTTAGGATTCCAGAAGAAATTCCAAGAATCCTAAATTATCTTCAAGGGGATTATCAATTAACAGCCCTGAAAAACCTCCTCTGAGAAACCAAAGGCTAGAGGCATGGCTCAAGCGGTAGAGCACCAGCCTGGCAAGTTCGAAGCCCTGAGCTCAAACCCCAGGGGATTAAAAAAAAAAAAAAAAAAAGGGAGAAACTGAAGGCATCCACAGGAGAGGTTCAGGCAGGCCTTCCAGGAAATTCTGGCACTAAGTTGACCGAACAGAGCACACATATCCAGAGCAGCAATGGACCTTCACTTGTGCACGTGCACACACACACAGCACAGGAAGAAGGGCGATTAGTCCACAGATCATCAAATGCAGTATCTATGGGAGTTTTCTAAGAAGTAAATCTCTCTGGCTCTCATCCTTTTGTTCATTAGTTACTACAAAGTAACGAAGCCCCAGCTTGAGCCTGATCTGGGGTACAAGCAGTGCCCTGGGGTACAAATGACCATGGCCTCTGTCCTGCTGGAGCTTCACACTCACTGAATAAGCAGAGGACTGCACAGGGAGGCAGGCCGATGGGTGGGTGCTCCCACCTGGGGGCCAGGAAAGGCATCGGTGAGGACAGATACAAAGTCTGAGATAAAGGGGATAAGTCAGAGTGCCCAGGGACTCAGTGCCTCAAGCATCTCCTATTCACACTGCAGTTAACAGGACCAGCTGGGACCGCACTCTGCTGCGCAGTCAGCTGCTGGGCAGGAAGTGCAGCTTCCCACGCGGCCTGATACTTCTTGAATGTGAACACCAATTCTCTTCTTTGTGAATGACTGAGAAAAATGGTGCCAACAATTAGGCCATTTAAATGATTCAAATGCTTTAAAGGTCTCTGAATTTTCTTGCTGACATAGTCCTCATAAATGAAACTCCTGTGCACTTCACTGAGAACCATCAGGCCAGGCTGAGAAGTGTCAGGTTTCCATTCCTGAACTTCCAGGTGCCAGGGCAGGGCTGAACGAGGCTGATGGAGGCTCCCAACTGGGCCAGGGGAAGGTGAGACAGGGTTTCCCAAAAGGGATGAACCAGACATGGAGAGGACAACTGAAGAGAACACTCAGAAGCAGCAGGTATAAAGGGCTCAGCTGGGACAGCCTCATTTGCGCAAGAGGACAGGAATTAAGTTTGCGCAAGAGGACAGGAATTAAGTGTGACTGGACTCTGTGGAGGCTAGCAAGTAGGGCCAGGTGAAACATTAAGCAAGACACAGAGAACAATGTGCTGTCTCCGTGTTGCCTCTTAGGGTCCCAGTAGCTTAACAGAGAGAACCAAGGGTTGGAGCCCATGTGAGTCGAATATCTTGAACATGCGGTAGCCTCTCTAAAAGGTCCAGAGAGGCCCCTGTTGAGGTGCAGTAACCAGGTGTGGATGGCTCAGTGAACAACTGGCTCATCTGGCCTTGGTGTCTGGCTGGGGAAAAGGAAGGGCAATAAAAGAAGTCTTAAGGTATAATCTCATGGTCCCTTCTTTTCCATAGGGAAGGAAATGAAGGGGCAAGGAGACTGACAGAAAGAGGGGGGGAGAGGGTCCTGAGGTCTTAGTGGAGTAAGTATGGCCAAAGACAGCAGAAGGTGCCATGTCTGGTATATCCTGGAGATCAGGCACCATCACATCACAACCCGGGGCTGAGCAAAGACAGCCTCTGAGGAGTCAGGCTGTGAACAGCTCCATAAGTGAATCAATATGCCTCGAACTTTCATACCAATGAAACACCACCCTGGCACAGATGCCACGTCACCCAGGACACCCAGGACTGACAAACGGACCTTGGAACAAGAAGGGTTATTTTCAAAACCACCAGTCACATTTGCTTAGGGCTGCTGCTGGCAGAGCTCAGGCCCCCAAGAGCCCCACTGGGGTTCTAGTCACCACCAGGCAGTGCTGTGTGGTGCTGGACATCAAACCCAGGGCCTTGAGCATGCTAAGCAGGTGCCCTAACTAGCACTGTGAACTTTCTTAGCAGAACATAAACAGGAGCAGAGTGGTCAAGAGCATAGGCCCTGTGCATCTGAAAGGCTGAGGTTCAAACTCTAACTCTGCTGCCTGCTGGCTGTATGATCTTAGTAAGTCAGCAAGCCTCTCTGAGCCTCAGTTTCTTCATCTGTTAAGGCAGGAATAATATTACCCATAGGGCTGTGGGGGAGTCAACCGGACAGTACATGGAAAGCAAACAGCTCACAGTAAGCACATGAATGTTGGATGTTCAGTATTAGAATCATGTTAGGTTATAGGAATTAGTGCAATGACAAAGGTGGCATGTACTGTTCCATATTGGCTGCCACAACTGGCAGGAACCCAGACTCTAGTAAATAAAACTGAGACAAATGGGGACCTGGGCCTGCCAGTGAGCACTGGGCACTCCTGGAACAGACTGCCATAAGCACGGTAAGTCAGGATGCTGATCAGGGGATGGACCTGCTCGCAGGGTGAAACCTCACCAGTATTATGCAAAGAGCAGACAACAGCAGGCCGCAGCCTAGAATTCCAAGCCTCCTATGCCTTCCTTCCCTGGAGTTCAAAAGGTTCACAGCTTCCTGCTCTGTGGGCCACAAGGGACCTGGGCTCCCATGGGGGCGACAGCTCCGGCCAGTCTTGTTATTTCTGATCCGTTGAGGAGAAGCAGCAAATATGGTAAAAGAATGAGCATGGAGAAAGGAGTCCTGTACTCGGTCCCCATATTGTCATAACATGGTGTGCCTGCCCAGTCTGCTGCTTTCCTCTCCTGGCATCCATCTCCTCATTTGGAGAATTTCTTTATAGCAAGAGCTCTTTATCAGTGAGCACACAGTCACCTAGAGAACTTAATTTAGGAACAGATGCCTAGGCGGCTCCCATTTTTATGGTATCTGGCTCAGTATAAAGATTTGAAACACCTGCCAGGAGGGGAAGGACCAGCACGGTCCCTTCTCCAGGAGCTCTACCAGGTTGCAGGCCTGTAGATTCCTCCTCCTACTACTCACTCAGGAAAATGGCCATGACTTGGAGTTTGCTGAGAATAGAGTGAGTGCCCATGGAGATAGTCAGAACACTCAACAGCTCAACTTTCTCTCTCTAGCCCAAGAGTAAAAAAGCCAGCACACACTATCCACAGAAGGATGACAGTCTAGACTAGACTTTCCTAGACTGTCATCTCTCCTTAAGTTGCAGGGTAACTAAGCAGGCCAGAAGGGATGCAGATCTCTCCTCCATGCCCCGCCTTCCCACAGCTGACTTCCCTGCATGGTCTTGGAACTGTGACAATGACAAAACAGTATCGCTTGTCACCATCTACTGAGCGATCACAAGGTGCCAGGCACTGAGTAGGCATTCCTTATGCTTCTTCTCACAATAACCTCCAAGAGGCAAGAGGCATGAGGCATTGTTACTGCTATCCTGCAGATGAAGGATTCAGGCCTGGTGAAGGTTAGTGATTTACCCACATCCCACAGCTTGTAAGTGGAGAAGTCAGTACTGAAACCCAAGTTCACACTCCTCTAAGGCCCAAGCTCTTATCACCCCCCATTTCACACTCAAAGAAAGGCAATTTGGAGTTCTGAATCCACTGGCAATTCAGGGCAATGCAGTCATGATTCAAAATGCCCTGCAATGCCCAGGAGCTGCCAGCACTCCATTCTTGGGAGTTAATACTTCATGATTTATAGGGCACACAGAAGCAAAGGCCCATGAGAGCCTCTTAAAGGGTGAAAAATTTCCCAAACAATCCTTCTCTGGGTGTAGAGAAAGCCTCCAGGCTTAAAAACATCCCACCCACTGTCCTCCTTTCCTCTGCTCTCTCCCTGCTGTGCTTCAGAGGGAACTGGGAGTCAAATACAAAAGCTGAGGAAGCAGGAGGGGGGCAAAGCCTAGCCAGCATTACAGCCAGTCTGACCCCCTCTGATCTCAGCAGGTCCAGATCTGCTTAAGCTCTGGCTAAAGCTTGCCCTCCATGAGGACAGAAGAGCACCCCCTGTGGTCACACACTGGCCTTAGAGCCTGCTGCACAGCCTTGAGTCACCAGGAAGACAAGGACCTAGGCCACAGAGAGACCTGGGACCACAGTAGCTCAGGCCACACTGGTCTGAAAGCGTTTTTGGGGTGGCCTCTGGCCTCCACTAAGGAAATCCCACTAACATTTCACAGCAAGTATGGGAAAGGCTGTGATAAGACAAGAACAGCTATGCAGAGGATGAAATTCCTTAATCTTCAAGCCATTGCAGGTCATGTGAAAAATGATTCAAAATACATTTCCAACATACATTTAAAGCAATGATCCAAGAGATGTCAAAAGCTACCAAACTGGGCTGTGTGCAGTGGCTCAAGCCCATGATCGCGGCTACTTAGGAGGTGAAGATTGGAAGGCTCGAGGTTGCAGACCAGCCCAAGCCAATAGTCTGTAAGACCACATCTCAACCAGTAAAAAGCTGGTTGTGGTGACACAAGCTGTCATTCCAGCTACCCCAGGAAGCACAAATAAGAGGACTGAGATTCAGTCTGGCCCAGACAAAAAGTAAGACTCTATCTCAAAAACAACCAATGCAGAAAGGGTGGAGGACCTGAAACCCCTAGTACTACATCAAAAGAAGAAAAAATCAAATTGGCTGAGTGTGATGGTGCATGCCTATAATCCCAACTACTTGGGAGGCAGCATTTGGGCAAATCATGGCTCAAGGCCAGCTTCTGCAAAAAAGATAGCAAGATCGCATCTCAATCAATAAGCCTGGTGTGGTGATGTGCACCTGTGACCCCAGTTACAAGGGAGGAGGGAGGCCAATAAGTAGGAGGATCACAGTCCGAGGCTGGCCCCAGGCAAAAAATTTGAGACTTTTTCTGAAAAATAACTAAAGCAAAAAAGGTTGAGGGGTGTGGCTCAAGTGGTAGAGCGTCTGCCTAGCAAGTGCAAAGCTGTAAGTTCAAACCCCAACACTGCCAAAAAAAGAAAAAAACAGAAGACAACTAACAACAACAAAAACAAGACAAGAAAAGGACTAAAGACCATCAGATAGTTGACTTGGTAAAGGACTTCTGTCATCAGCCCTCTTAACGTTTCTTGTTCTCCCTTTCTTTCGACTTTAGCCCCACACCAGCAGCACTGAAAAAGGAGGGGTTCAAGGGACCAGCCTCAGACTCTGCTCTTGCCAGGGCCTCGTCTCTGCCAGCCTACAGCGAGCAGCCATGATGCCATGAGCTTGGCAGTCTAATACACGGCCGAGTCTACAACTGAGCTGAGTGCTTGTCACTCCACATGTTCCCCCTCTTTCCCAGTCACAACCAGCAGGGTGCTAAGCCAGGAAGAAGTTCACACTTCCGGTTACTTCATCACACAGGCTGGTTAATGGCAGGCAAAACTCCCTCAGTAAGAATGTGACCTTCCTGGAACACTGCAGTCATCAGTAGAGATGGCCTGGCATCCCAGTCTCAAGAGCCATGGAGAGACAGTGGGGTGGCTCAAATGGTAAGAATGCCTGCCTTGCAAATATGAGGTCCTGAGTTCAAACCCCAGTGCTGCCGAAAAGATATTCAAGACCCAGGGAAATCAAATGCATTCAAGTTCTCCCAGCAGGAGAATCAAGCCCAGGCCGGTACAGGAGGATGCACTGCCAGACCTCCATGGCCACAGGGGCTGAGGATCTCCAGGTACGCAGGCTCTATCCTCAACAAAAACTGGGCAACGTGCCTGTGCCAAGGCTGCTTCTCAGTCTGGCACCACGAGAAGCCAATCTGCTTTTGGCTGTGGCTCATGTTAATTCAGGGTGGCATCACTGGGAATGGATTATTTCATAGTATTGGCGTTGGTCAGAGGTTGATGACTTTACAGGAATTTGAGGTGATGTGTTTGAGGAAATGTGATGAAAAAGGTTTTTGGTAATTAAAATAAATTAAAAATCACTGTATTAAACTGGCCTAATTAAATATTCTCTTTCTTCACAACAACAGTTTAGTTAGCAGTGCTTTAAACTTTTCTAGGGTCACAAACCCTTTCAGAATGTGTTGAAAACCCCATAGCTTGCAGCCACAATGCCATGAGCTCAGCAGGAAATGTGCAGGTTCCCAGCACAGTAATGGTAAAATATCAGAGCAACCCCAGCCAGGCAAAGCCATAATCCTAGCACTCAGAAGGTGACTTTTTTTTTTTTTTAAAGACAGAGTCTCACTATGCATTTCAGTCTGGCCTTGAACTTGTGATCCTCCTCCCTCAGCCTCCCAAGTACTGGGATTACATGCATGTACCACCACATCTGGCTACATGTATGGTTTTTAAGATGCTCTCCCTTGAATATCTAAGGCAGCTGGGGGTGGATGGTAAAGTTTTCTGTAAATGATTTGATAGCAAACAGATAATCTCTGCTACAACTGCTCAACTCTGCCACTGAAGTGCAAAAGTAGCTTTAGATATATACACAATGGGCAATGTTCCCGCTGCATGAAACCATTTATAAAAACATGTGGCAATGACATTTGGCTCATGGGCCAAGTTTGCTAACCTCTGCTCTAGAATATCACTACAGAGGGATATTATGACATGGAATCTCTGCTTCTTCCTTTTCCCAAAAAAGATTATATTTTTACTTAGTAAAAAATTAAACCATAGCTTGGTGTTGGTGGCTCATGCCTGTAATCACAGCTTGGGAAGCTGAGATCAGGATGATCTCAGTTCAAGACCACAAATAACCAGAGCAAAATGGACTGGAGGCGTGGCTCAAGTGGCAGAGTACCTGCTTTGCAAGTACAAAGCTCTGAGTCTCCCCAAAAAAAAAACAAGTAAGTTAAACAACAATTATCATACAGTTCTCAAAGCAGATGGGTTTCCTGCTCCCATGGTATACACCACTGACCTTCCTCTACCATAAGCAGACAAGGGCAGATCTTTCAATGTAGGTACAGTTTTCTAGAGTGACCAATCATTTTGTGCTTGTGTGGGTTATATAGATGCAAACACAACAAGATGCTCACAGTCCACTGAAACAGTAACTGTCTGGGGAAGCCAAAAGATCCTAGAGCAACAACAAAAAACCAAACAATCTGTCTTGGTTTTTATTGTGTTGCCACAGACCATACTTCACAAAGCAAAGAGGTTTCTCTAGCTACTTGGGAGGACTGAGGGTTGAAGCCAGTCTGGGCAAAAAAAGTTATTGAGATTCCATTTCAACCAATAAAAGCTAGGGACATGGTGGCATGTGCCTGTCATTCCACATCACAGGAAGCATAAACAGGAGGAGGACAGTCCAGGTTGGCCTCAGCATAAACGCAAGAGCCTATGTGAAAAATATCTAAAGGAAAAGGGATTAGGGGTATGGCTCAAGTGGTAGAGCACCTGCCTGGCAAGCATGAGGCCCTGAGAAATAAACCAAATACCATACTGGGGTTTAAACTCAAGAGATTCAAGCTTATTAGAAAGGCACTCTACCACTTGAGCCACCCCACCAGCCAAAAAGAAGTTTCTTTAGCTCCCAGTTCTGGAGGTCCAGAGCCAGGTGCTGCCATCTGCTCAGTGTCTGTTGAGGGCTTCGGCTGGGTGGCATCACAAAGGAGGGAGCACACAAGAGAGGGGTGAGCAGTGTGTGGAAAAGGGATTCAAGGGGAGGGGGTGCCAGGCTGGCAGCTAACAACCTGCTCCGGCAAGATACACTCCCTTGTGAAAAGGATGAATTGCTCTCACAGACCGTGTCACTTCCCACTAGGCCCCTCCCCTAATGGTTCCATCTCCTTAGCTCACCACACAGGAGACCAAACTCTCAGCACATAGACCCCTGGGGGACAAGGCACATCTGAACCACTGCCCTGTCAAATTAAACATGGGCAAAAGACTTGAACTGACATTTTTCCAAAGAAGATATACAAATGACCAAGCACTTGACAGATGTTCACTGTGACTGATCATTTGGGAAAACAAGCCCCAAGCACAATGAAATAGCACCTCATGGCTGCATAAGGATGTCTGGGGTAAGAAACAAAACGGCGGGGGCATCGCTCAGAGGCAGAGTGTGCCAAGCACATGCAAGGCCTAGTTCAATGCTGGTGGTGCTGTGGAGAAATGAGTCTGCATGGAGTGCTGGTGGGATGTAAAACTGCATGGCAGCTCCTCAAAAAATTAAATCTACAATTACCATATGATCCAGCAATTCCATTTTTGGGTATATACTGCAAAGAATTAGGAGTAGGACTTGAACAGGTATTTGTACACGACGTTCAGAGCACAAGGTGTGATACTCCTTCACAATAACCAAAAGGTGAAAGCATCTGCAGACTCATGAGTGGATAAACAAATCCCACAATGGGATGTTCTTCATTCTAAAAACCAAGGCAATTCTGACATGCTGCGACATGGAGGAAACTTGAAGACATTATGCTAGGTGTTAAGCCAGATGCAAAAAGGCAAATGCTGCTATTCATGAATGAGTAGTAGCATTCATGGATAGAAAGTAGAGTGGGGCTGCCAGGGGCAGTGTACACTTTCAGTCTGAAGAGGTAAGAAGTTCTGGAGATGGGTGGTGGCGATGACTGCACAATGTGAATGTAGGTAATAACACAGACCCGGACATTTAAGTTATGTGTATTTTATCACAATATGTAAAAAAGAAAAGGAAAGATACCAGAGCAGGAAGGCGCTGAGATGCATCCTAGTGGAAGTGGAGAACTGAGATGGGACAGCGAGGAACTCTACAAAGGCTGACGGTGCAACCCGTACTCCAGGGTTTCTCCCGGGAATCAGTCCTATGGAGCTCTCACATAATTAGGCTGTGCATGTCCATCCAAACCACTGCACAGGATGACTTAATTAATCTAAAGAAGGCTTCTTAAATCTGAGATCTTTGAATCCCATGAAGGACTTTACACAGACATGGAGAGGGCTATATAGCTTCCTAATTCTCAAATAGATCTATCACCCCAAAAAGGAGGAGAAGCCCAACAGCAGCCTTGCGAGAACAAGAACAAAAAGCGGAATTAAACAATAGGCACAAGTTGCAGCTGTGAGGCCCACAGTGATTTTCTCTTCTTTCTCCCCAGGAGGTTTCATCAGTCTGTTTATGTGAATAGACCCAAATCACAGCTGTTTGGTAGGAGGTGCCCTGAGCTGAAGGACATCTCAAATAACCAAAGTGTCTGGCCAAGTCAGTCTGAAATATGCCCAAAGGTAAACAGGACAAGAACCAAACAGGCTTTTGCTCATGTTCAGGGTCACCAAGCACCTTCTCTAATGCATTGTGTTCAAGCTTTCGGTCCTGGGACCACTTACACTTTTAAACATTAAGGGCCTCAAAGACCTTTGCTTCATGTAGGTTATACATATCAGTACTTACCACATTTGACAATGAAACAAGGATTACAAAAACATTTAATAAGTCATATAAAACTAAGAAAAATAAACCCATTATATGTTAACATAAATAATGTTTTGTTAAAGACCTCTTCTCTAAAAAAAATTAATGAAAAGAAGAATTATTTTCTATTTTTGTAAATCTCTGTCTGTTCTAATAAAACAAAGCTAGGTTTATGAATTTGCTTTTGCACTTAGCCTCTTGTGAGGGAGTGCTATGGTTAAAACAATACAGCCCCACACATGTATGTAGCCCTTTCCAGACAACTGAGAATATTCTTTTTTCTTTCTTTTGAGGCAGGATCTTGCTGTGTTGCCCAGGCTGGTCTTGAACCTTTGACCTTAAGTGAGCCTTCTGTCTCAACCTCTCTAATAGCTGGAACTACTGGCATGCACACAATTACTCTTCTTTGATTCTACATGAAAACAGGACAAATGGCAGGTAGCTTCTACAGACCAGTGAGCTGGGGAAGCTGAAAGTATATCAAGGTGTCTGGCACTGGTGGCTCACCTAGAATCCTAGCTACTCAGGAGGCAGAGAACAGGAGGATTGTGGGTTGAAGCCAGCCTGGGCATATACCCAACACAAAAAAGGGTTGGTGGAGTGGCTCAATTGGTAGAGCACCTGCCTGGCAAGACTTAGGCACTGAGTTCAAAACCCAGTACTACCAAAAAAAGAAAAAAAGATGCATCGAAGAACTTTTCACACGGCTGCATTAAAACTCCACTGGTCCATCCTCCACTCTGGGTGGACATTTTGCCAGTGCTTGATCGTGCAACATCTGTGTTGGGTCAGGTGGAAGATACTGTTTCAGTAAGCTATGCAGATCTCTCAAATACTGAAACACTTTTAATGAAAATATTACTTAAAACCACATTGTTGATATCACCTCTGTTCACAACAGAAGTTTCTTAAGCTGGGCGCCTCATACCTGTAATCCTGGCTACTCAGGAGGCAGAGATCAGGAAGATTGAGGTTTGAAGTCAGCCTGGGCAAACAGTTCTCGAGACCTTATCTCAAAAAAAAAAAAAAATCACAAAAAAGGGCTGGCAGAGTGGCTCAAGGGAGTTCAAATCCCAAAACCACAAAAAAGAAAAAAAAAAGTCTTTTAAGAATGGGAAATGTCAAGCTCCCAGTGGTAGATAAGAGTTGTCCTACATTCTAGTTTGTACTCAAAAGCACAACTTTTATCACTGGCAATAAACACTGTTCACTGTTTTCCTTGGAAAGACATGTTCATTCATTTTCAAGAAAATGTCTGCCAAAAGCCCAAGTCTGAGTGACCACAACAGCTATCATTCTTTCAGATGAAAATGGCCTTCCAGGAGAAAAGAAGCCAGCCTAGTGGGCAACTTAAACACTTGCACATTTCTGTCTGTAGAGTGCTTTGTGCATACTTCCCAGTCCACCGTGTGCAATATTAAAGACATTACTCAGGGTGGAGACTTAATAGTATCAACAGTTCCTACAGTTCCTACAATATTGTCAGGGCCATTCTGAAGGGACATGGCCCCTTACAGCCCCTTAAGTAGGTACCAGGGACGAATGCAGCAGTTACTGGGCCAGTCTGATGCCATAGCTTTGAATCATCCAAAGGTGCCAACTGTCTTACCCAACCATTGCTTCTTCAGTCAATGCAAACATCAAGAGTGAAATGGCCAGTATTATATGCTTAGAAACCAGCGTGACCCTGAGGGTGCCCTGGAGAGAATGCTGTCCTAACAAATACCTCTTATGATTCAGGCTCTTTCAGAAGATGGTGGTGGCTCAGAATGAGGCCAGTCCATCACCCTGCAGCTAGTTGTGGAAGTGTCTCTGAAGCTCACATAAAAGGGAAGATTCTTTAGAATACTTCCTTTGACTTTCCCTCAGAAACACAAGGCCAAAAAAAGGATGACCAGAGTACAGGCTGTTAATCAAATTTATGGTGTATAACCCCAAGCCAGTCCTATAAGGTAATAACGCTGGAGAGAGGAAGAAACAGAGATGTAGGCTCTAGGATGAAGCAGACAGTAAATCTTGGCAGGCAGAGCCCAGTGGACTAAGGGTGAGGTGTGTATGAGCAAGACTCAAGCCCCTCAGAGGCTGTAGCACAGCACTGAATCCCGATGACAGAGGACCAGACAGGCCACAATGTGTAGTAGAAGAGACAAAGGATGAGGGAAGCTTCATCCTTAATGTTTTCTTTATGCTTTCCCCAGGTTCAGTTCAAAGGAATCCATACACAAAGAAGTAAACAAACACTCTGGAAGTTGTACTGAACCCAAATTCACGAAGTACAACTACTTCCAGGCTTGCAATTACTCAGCCTGGACTGCATCTGAACTAAAAACAAGAATCTTAAGCCTGTCACTGTCAAGGTCGTGCAACGAGTCAGAATAATGAGCCAAAGAAAAGGAACCAGAATGTCAGGCCTCATCCAGTAAATTGCTTCCAAATCTAAGAGGAGACATTACTGCTGTGGTCTTCATATGCCCTGATGCTGCTAGGACTGGCTATATCTCAGGAGGATGAACTGAGGCACAAAGAAATCAACCACGTGGGAACCAGCCATTGGCTGTGATCATTCAGCCTCATCTGGCTTGCTAGCACAGCCTGTTCCCCAGACTTCTTGTCAGATCAGACTCTGCTCTGGAACATGCCCACCTTGACTTTGGAAGCGTCACAAGCACAGACATTTTTCAATGGACAGAATGAAGGAGACATTTGTGGAACAGCAAAAAAGCTTCCCATCCAGAAGATATGACCATTCTAATTTACTCTCTCCCCTTTCAAAGGCTTTGGACACCTGAGGATGAGAAATGGGTGCTGTCTTTATAGGATGGGGAGGAGAGCCTGGGTTTGCCTGCTGTTGTATCTGCTGTCTGCTGAAGAAGTCCCATGCTGTCACCTGGTGGAAAACATGAGAAACTGCCTTGGGTGCCCCAGCCATGACAAAAACATCCTGGCTTATAGTTTCTCTTTACTGCAGGTGCTTGAGGGACAATGCTGACGTCATCTGGGACCTCACCTGATGTGCTATCTTTACCAAAATCCTCAGCTGAGACCAATCTTGGGGGAAATGGTCAGAGATGGTCAATCTCCAGTCACCCTGGAACCCTAACATGCCAGGTAGAGAAGGTGCTGAGGCTGGCAGAGGTCAGAATGATGTACAAGTGCCAGAATAATTCTGGATAAGCCAAGAAGAAAAATACAGACACAACTTACCAACTGAGAAACACTGCCCTTGGAATTTTAAGGTATTTTCAGCTGAACAGCCAGAAATATTTGAATTTAGAAATATCAAAGTGTACAAGGATAAAGAAGATTAAATGTCTCATATATATTAAAACAAGAAAACCCTACTTATTAAGTTATAAAAACAATAAAACCATCTTTTTATATAATGTGCACAGAAGGGAAAAAGGGATAAGAAATTCCCTCAACGATAATTATTGCTAGAGTGGGGGCTCTCATTTTTGTGGCAGGGTGGTTTATTAAAATTCTAACTTCCACTTCATTTTCTGTGTTTCCTTCATCCCATCCCAAGAAGGTAGGCAGGCTCTCTGCCACTGGCTTTGGGGACGGCCATCAGCATGGCTGTACAAACTGTCGGCAGACAACACACCAACTATAATTCACCAAAAAGAGTATATCACAGCAGGAGTTCCAGAGGGGAAAAGAAATCCAGAGCTTTGGAAAGAAAGAGAAAACAAATGAGGGAAGTGCTGTCTCCCAGGACTAGAGAGAGACCAAAAGAGGGCAAGACCATTCTGGAGAGGCCAGGCATGACTCGCACATCAACCCAGCATTGACCAGCTCCCAACCTGGGCTGCCCAGAAGCAAAAGTGGCAGGAGGCCAGGTGATAGGCGCTCTATACTGCCATCTGCCTGGGCCTTAAGACCATGGTCCTCTGCCTATACCTCCCACGTGGCTGGATCACAGGAACACAGAACAAGGCCCAGTTTACTGGTTGAGACTGGGAGTGGGGGGGAGGGACTCTTTAGGACCCAAACCGGGGAGAGTCTAAACAAGGATCAGTGAGTGCACCTGACCTGTTATGGAACTTCAAAGTCAAGTGAAATTCATTCTGAAAATAATGTGGAGCTGAAGATGTGGCTCAGGGATGAAGCACATTTCAAGTCTGTGAAATCAGACTTATAGCCATTAGGTTTTTCACATTTTCTAAAAAGAATCCACATTACTTTTATAATCAGCAACGAAACTTTTATAATCAGCAACGAAACTTTAGTAACAAATACACTATTTCTTTTTTTTTAAATTTTTTTTATTTTTATTTTTTGGCAGTATGGGGTTTGATCTCAGGACCTGAACCTGCAGGTGCTCTACGACTTGAGCCATGCTCCCAGCCCTTGTGTGCTTTTGTTTGTTCTTCAGGTAGGGTTCTGCCTGGGCCTTAAGACCATGGTTCTCTGCCTATACCTCCCACGTGTCTGGATCACAGGAGCACAGAACAAGGCCCAGTTTACTGGCTGAGACTGGGAGTAGTGGGGAGGGACTCACTAACATTTTTTTCCCCAGGCTACATTTGAACTGCAACCCCAAGTAGCATTTTGCCAGGTACCAGTGACTCACACCTGTAGTCATAGCTCCTCAGGAAGCAGAAATCATGAGAATCGTGGTTTGAAACCAGCCTGGACAAATAGTTCACAAGACCCTATCTCAAAAATACCCAATACTAATACTAAGGGATGGCAGAGTGGCTCAAGTGGCAAAGCACTTGAAGCCCTGAGTTTAAACTCTAGTACCTCCCTGCCACACACACACACACACACACACACACACACACACACACACACACAAAACCAAGTAGATAGATTTACAGGTGTGAGGCACCACGCCCAACCCCTCAAACCCTGTTTTGTTTTTTATTTGTCATGCCTTGTAAAACATGTATCACCCCAGATGTATGATTTCACAAGTGCTGAGAGCGTACTGGTCCTCCTACTACCCTCACAGTGTGAAGTTCCCATTTGTGCCACACAGCCTGGGATCAGGACATGATTCAAGTCAGAAAAGGAAGTAATTCTCTACAAGGGGCTTTGTTTCTGACTTAGCAGACAAGGTTGGAAAATCAAGGAGACACACAGGGTTATAACAGCACAACTGCTAAAACACCAAGTAGGTCTGAAGATGCTCATTTAAAATTCATATGGACACATCTATTTTGAAAGTGTGTTAAGTCAGCAGGAAGGATGGCTTTACACATCGCCATCCACAGACCGCCTGTTCTCACACAGAAGTGTTAGCTGCCCCTTCCAAGATGAGATTTTCTTTGTGCCTCAGTTTTGAGAAGGTGAAAATCACAATCACGAGTGGAATTGAAATGAATCATCCTGGTACACACCCCAAACCTCCTTACACAACACTTGCTTCTCCACCAACCTATCCTGGCTGCTCTTACAAGGTAAGCCCCCAGCAGCCCGCTGCCCAGGAAGTCAGCCCCTGGACAGCCACAGACTGTCCCCACCTTTCTGCAGCACCCAGAATACAGGCACAGAGGAAAGTGAGCAGCACAAAAGCCATGCAAGGGAACTTGCCTTTTCCATCTGTGGCCGAGGCTTCTTGTAAATGTCTGATTGACCTAAAAATAAACACAGGGATAACAAAGGTTAGCTGGCAAGTTTTCATTCTTCTCTATTTCTGGCTCTAGTAGCTTCGGGCCTTGAACTCCCTGGTTACAAACTGAAACGTTAGACTAGACGACTTCAAAGCTCTCTCCTTAAAAAAGTGATCTTTGCTAATCCACACTTCACCGTATATACGGTGCTCAAGTCTGCAGTGTAAAAATGCCCTCTGCTGGCCGAATACAAGCAACAATTCTGGCAAGACCAGAGTGAGGAGAAAAGCAAACACCATCATTTAACTATCCTGATAGCTCCCTGATGTCATTCTCACAGCCACCCTGCCCACCACTGAGGATCAGGGAGGACCAATCACTGAGTTTCCACTGGGGAGAATGACCCTAGGAGAAAATCATGCAGACTTCCAAGTCTAGGTCTAGGAGCAGTGACATATGGCTTCACACAAACGCCACTGAGTGGAGATTGTAACTGCGGAACATACCACCCTCTGCGGAGTGGTTTTACACCATCATTACCGCTCAGGCAAGAAGGGGACAGTACCATTAGTAAAGACATGGCAGATCAGAGTTCTAGGTACAGTTCACAAACACCCGGGAAAGCAGTATGGTGGAAGAGGGTTGGGTCTGGCAGACACTAACACTCATTTGTCTGTGAATGAATCACTTCTAAAACCTTGGTGGTCTGCTCCCTAGAAGAACTAAACACGCAAAAGTTACCAGCACAATGCTGGCCCTGAACCAGTGCTGCTTGGTGCTATTTCTTAAATCGCCTTTCTAGTACTTACTGGCTTTTCTCATTTGACAATAATTTTCAGGCTATTTACAGAAGGAATCTTGCCATTTGGCACCTACTCATTACTGCTGTCATTAACAAGTGACATGAAATGGTCACTGGTAGCTTTGTGTTCATTGGGTCCCTTATATTTTGCTCTTCCAATGGCAGCATCTAAAAGGGTAGAGTCCACGATGTTCCATATGAGGACAGGGCTGGACATCCTGGGTTGAAGCCGCCCACGCTGCTGTTCCTGGGCAGGATGTAAGGAGGCTGTCATGGCCATGGGTGACGAAGGTCTCATCCATGCACTCGCCTGTGCTGGCAGCTGTCTGCTGAGCATCAGCACGCAGGCACATGTGTGTTGTTTGATGAGCTGGGGAAAGGCGACTGTAACTGGTGGAAGGAGAATTATGCTCCACTGACACCATGGTCTAAATAATTAGTGATTCAATGGCCCAACAAACCGCAGGATCTAGAAAATACTAATTTACCACATGGGCACTGCGATTAGAAGCACCCACCCCTTCTGTGCATGTTTGCAGAAGAAATGGCTGCATTCAAACAGTCATGGAACTAAGTGAAGTGACTGCTATACTTTTGTTAACCTGCTTTACCAAGACCTTCCATCACTTTGCATGTGACGTAAGGCAAGTATTCTTTCTCTTCAACCACTGAGTTGGCACTAATGCTTCTTTTATTTTATTTGTTTGGTACTGAGATTTGCTAGGCAGGCACTGTACCTTTTGACCATTCCACCAACCCTTTTTGGTGTTGGGTATTTTGTTTGTTTTTGGTGGCACTGAGGTTTGAACATTTGCTAGGCAGCCTTTCTTACCACTTGAGCCACTCTGCCAGTCCCCAGTGCTTCTTTACACAATCAAGGCACAACATAAGCATCTGAAGCCAGCCATTTCTAGGAGTGCAGCAAACCATTCTCAAGAATGCTAAGATGTGGAGTTCTGAGAACTACCACTAGTTTTATGTTAGTGTACTTTCCTATTTTCCACCTAATTGGCAAGAAAAGGTTATTTCTGGGGCTTAACTTCCTCGCCACCAAATCTAGGCTGCTACTTTATGTTGCCACTCAGTTCTTATTTCCAAACCCTGCTCTACTGTCTTAGAACTGGCTCCATGGAGCCAGGCCAGCTCTATCAGAATCCTCTGGGTGACAGAATTCTGATTCAGGGCAACCTGGAACCACAAAGATCTTTTTCAAATGCCTCATGTGATTCAGGCAGCTGCTGGGGTGACAACTGAGCCACAGGCATACCCCTCCCTTCCTGTGGGTTACTCACCACACCACTGGGAAAAGGATGGCACCACAGCACAGCAGGTCAACCAGAAACAGAGAATCCTTCCATAAGCCATACTCAGTCGTGCCCTCCTCAGTGGACTCTATGATGATGTAGGCAACATTTGCCAGGACCTACAGGACATAAGAAGTGACAGAGGCCCCAAAGCATGTGTGGTTGCTACTAAAGCAAGCCCAAGGTGGGGTGCTCACCTGGCAGCCCCCAGGCTGTGACCACAGCATGATCACCAGTCGCACAAGCTCTTCTGGACCTCTGCCACCCTGCTATCAAGATGAAGAGTCTCAGGGTTGGTGGAGTGGCTCGAGTGGAGGAGCGCCTGCCTAGGAAGCATTGAGGCCCAGAGTTCAAACCCTAGTCCCACCAAAAAAAAGTGAAGTGTCTCTACACCATCCTTTGAAACTGGGCAGGCTTGTAATTGCTCCACCAATAGTGAAGTGGATGTGAAGCTGTGTGATTTCCAAGGTGGACACAGCTTCCACCTGGCCCACCCCCAGGATCTTCAGAACCCTGAGCCTTCTTGTAAGTAGTCTGGCTACCCTAAAACAGCCATGCTGGAGAGATCCAAAGAGGCAGAAGCTGCCTGAGGAGCTCCAGCCATTCTTGCCCATCTCATCGCATCTTCTCAGCCCAGAGACTGCAGTGAAGAATAGAAGACACCGCCAACCACAGCCACTGTCAGACTATAACCACACAAGACCACACAGCTAACCCTACCCAGTTAAGCCCTTCCCAAGCCCCTGCCCAACAGAAGCGAACAGGGAGAATTACTGGTTAGTCCTGTTGCGAGTTTTGGGGTGACTTGTTACATAGCAATAGATAATTGAGACACTTTGCATTCTGGGCACCTGAGCCTTACAGGGGTCCCTCAGGTGCTAGACAGTTGATACTTTACTCCCACTTAGCCAGGATGCCCACAGCTCGTCCTGAGAGTCCCTGGTCCTCAGTGACAATAATTCTTTCAAGTGCTTGATGATGGGACTGTGTTACTGGAGACCAGAGCAGCAAGAATGGCAGAATTGGCCCAGTGGTTTAGTAGTCACCCTGCTCCTTATGGGAATAAGCCAAGTTTAGGTCCTCTGTGCACTGGACATGGCAGGGAGTTCCCCAAGGCTCAGCTGTGGCCACCTCTTTCTCGTATTTAAAGTTAAGGTTTTGCTTGTGTGTTCAGTCCTATAACTAGGCTCTTATGTTACGGAAAATCTTACACTAGCTGCAGAGATACTACTGAGTATAAAGCAAATTTATCCAATAAGAAGTCCACATTTGCAAGTACCCTGCCTGATTTGCTAAAAAGATAACTCACACAATTATAAGGAATATGACATCTACGATTTGGGAGGTCTTTAAGTATAGTTTCTCTTTCTAAACAGGACTTACAAATTAGGTTATCATAGATGCCAAACCTCACTTAATATAAATGTAAAAACTATTTTGAAATTTCAGTTTCCGCATTGACACCTGGCTTCTGGGTTCTTTCCCTGTTCCCTCCTCCTGAAGCCAGGCTGTCCTGAACGACTGCAGCCATGGCCCTACTAGAACATGTGGAAACTTCACCATTCTACTTTGACCTTAATTGACACAAGAGACAAGACATTCCCAGAGGTGTTAGTGTTGAACAATATGCCAGCAATGTTCCTGAAACACCATTTTGTATCCATTACTTGCTCTATACTCAGAAACTTTCAGTTGGGGCTGGAGGTGTGGCTCAGTGGTACAACACTTGCCTAGCATGTGCAATTCCCAGCACCACAAAAAAGACAAAGGAAAAGATAAGAAACTTTCTTTTACTACCTCTCACTGCCGAAAGGAAGCAGTTTTGACTTTTTAGGCTGATGGTCAAGGCCTTCCAAAAGAGTCCCATTGTCTAATATTTAATTCTCAAACATCCTTATTTCCTCAGCACAATGTTCCATGTAACCCTGTGTTCATCTTTCAGGAGAGCAAAAGGGGGAAGCAGGAAAGACCAAGCCCTGTCACACCCCAGCTTAGGCCAGAGGGAGGAAAGTCAACCTTGGGGGATGGTTGACTCTGCCCAAGGGAAAGGGATAAGGCAGCAGTTCAGCAAAGTGGGAGGAGGACCCAAGTTCTGTCACTTAAAAGCTCTGAGGCCCTGGCAGGCTGTGTAACTCAGTCTGACCACTAACATAGCCCCAGTGGTTCAACCACCAAAAAGACTGACTGTTTCTCAGCATTTGCAGTTCACCAGCACCAGTGTTACAGGTTTCTATGGCTGCTCCTTTGCCCCTGCCACATTCCTTTCCTTAAACATCCTGTCAAGCTCCATTTCTGTCACAAAGCCCTTCCAGATCACTGAGTGGTTGGTTACTTTCTCCTTGGAAGCCAAGATCAAACTAGACTGTGACATTCACTTAGTGCCAACATATGCTCCTCCAGATACAGCACTCAAGGGTAGCTTTGCTGCAGACTTTGCCAAGCAGTCAATCTCCAGGGCTGACCAGGTTGTTCTAGGTGTGCTGGGAGTTGTGCCCTTCCTTCCCCCACCTGCCACACTCCAAAGTATGAGATCAGCTAACACATGTGACTCAATCAAACACATGGTAATTGGTCAAGCAGAGCAGAATGGTTGTGCATGCCTGCTAGGCCCTCTCTGCTTGTTATACCTTCCCATGTTCAGGTTCTGCTTCTAATAAGACTGCTGAACAGAAAATAAGACAAGGTTCCTCTCCTGAGGGGCTCACAACATACTCCCAAACAGAGGAAGGTTTACTGAATGCCTGTCCCTGGCACCCACTGTCCCATTCTACCTTGCAGAAACTCCCTGGTGCCATCCACAGTTCTAAAATGCTTTGCTGATAATACTGCCGTGTACCTGGGCTTGCTCACTTTTCTGCAGTTATCTATCCACAATCTGGGCATCCAGGCTGGTCGAGAGACAACTGACTGTCAAGTGGTTCCCACAGCATATATGATGTAAGCCTAGTTCTATCAGAATTAGTAAGGGCACTCCATTCTCCAAAACCCAGAAGCTGGGGTTTTTGAGGAGCCTCTCCTATGGATGGGCCCAGAGCTGAACTCTGCTGAGAGTCACAAGAGTACTGACAGCAAGACTGGAGCTCCCTTACCTGGAGTGGGATGACAATCACGAAGATCTTCTTGTCCTTGTCAGAGAGGATGTGCTTAATGAAAGCCCAGCCAGTGCCAATGAGCGCAATGGTGATGAACAGCAGGGCCCCCTTCAAACTGGAAGAGATAACAGTTCACAGACACCAGTAGGTCTCTTCAGACTCTCACACTACCAGTCAGACCACTAGCTCATCCTGTCAGTTCCCAGGCCTGAGGGAGCATTCTGCATGCACCTGCATACTTACAGGTGAGTTATGTAGTACACTACAGCCCAGCCTTCGATGGGAAAGCCCTGGGAGGAGATGTAGTGGTAGTCAATCTGAAACCAAGCAGCTACATTTCAGAATGGCCAATCTACCCCAGTGCACAGTGAAAACAACAAATGACCCCAGAGGACCTTGGGATGAGGGATGTCCCACCCACCCCACTCCCCAGCACCCCACCTTGTCAATACACAAAAGGAAGTATGTGAGTACACTAACAAATGGCAGGTAGCCTGAGAAAATACCCAGCCCAGGTCCCTCTCTTGAGGCAAACAATTCACACTGGCAAATGACTGCTTATTCTTTTCTTAAAAATCTCCAAGAACCAAACAAACTTTATCTGTCATACTACTGCTGGGTGCAAAAGGACACCAGTCAGTCAGTCAGTCAGTTAAAATATCTAGGTGTAATGACCTGGCTTGAACTATTTTTTCTTTGAAAAATATCTGTAAATTTAGAATACTTTAGGCCACCAATGCATTTTTAACTAAAGTGGCAAGATTAAGCAGTACACCCCAAACGCCTCCCAGTAGAACCCCCAAGCTGACAGTGGTGTATACATCTTTCAATCTCTCTAAATGGTATCTGGATAGTAAAGTAACTCAAGGGGCCAAGCATTCATTACCTATGTCTCTCCCCGTTACTCTAATACATTTTTCCTGCTCACACAGGCATGTGCATCATTTTGCAAACGATCCCCCAAGTGCTAATACATACTGCATGGAACACCAAGGAAAGAGACTTGGTGAACGGAAGGGCCGCCATTAACCAGTGAATTTTAAATACATCATTCCTACAAAAACAAAGAGAAAAAATTAATTAAAAGAAGACCCACTTCTGATGGGCAGTCAAACCACGAGATGTATTTATAAGCAGGCAGCAAGTATGATCTGAGCAAGTCACAAATGAAGTCTTTTTTGTAAAGATAGCATTCTAAAACAGGCTGCCAGCTTCGTCTCTGGAAATCATCCTGCTAAGGTTACAAAGGCGAGTGTGAGAGAAAGATCTGCAGAAATAGCAGGAAGCCAGGAAAGGCAGAAGCGTTGGGTGCCGATGCAGAGGAACTACAGCCCAGCGTAGGAAGGCTGGGAGCTGACAGCAGGAACAGGTTAGGGGAAAGCACTGGGCTTGTGCCCCTTTCCCCTCGTCAGCCTATGGGTGAAGCACCCACTCCTAATCCTACCTCCCTACCCTCCAGGTACTTACTAGTCCCCTTCTGGGGTACCTAACATTAAATTCCTCCATCCATTCCCACCTCCCCTAAAAATTACCTAATAGGATGCACAAGACCATTATGGAGATAATGGAAAACTATTAAAAACGTGCACACAGAGAGACCTGAGTAAGAGCCACGGGGAAATGCACACTCTCAGATACTGGGGCATTCTGCAAAACCACAGCAATAAAAAATGTGGAACAGGTGCAGTTTATGTGTTATCAGACAGCTAAACTAAGGCACAGACTCGAGCTCAGAAGCAGATTCATGTGCATGCATGAAGCTGGGTAAGGTAAAGTGACTCCAACTTGCCATGGGGAAAAAGCAGATTGAACCTACACCCAGGAAAAAATAAAGCAGGATTTTTACTCCATACTTATAAAAACAGGGATTCCAGATGCATTTCAGCTCTAAATGTGAATACGTATTTTGTGATCGTGGAGTAGCAGAGGGGCTCTTAAATCCAAGAGGCCTAACAAAAAGATTAATCCAAACTTGCCATGGGGAAAAAGCAGATTGAACCTACACCCAGGAAAAAATAAAGCAGGATTTTTACTCCATACTTATAAAAACAGGGATTCCAGATGCATTTCAGCTCTAAATGTGAAATACGTATTTTGTGATCGTGGAGTAGCAGAGGGGCTCTTAAAATCCAAGAGGCACTAACAAAAAGATTAACATTAGGCAGTTTTGACTCCATTAAAATAAAAGATTTTCATTCAATACTGCATACTGCAGACAAGCTTAATGACTGGGAGGAAAACAACTGCAATGTGTAAGACAGACAAGGGATTGATGTTCAGAACATGCAAGAGACTCATGCAAAGCAATGAGAAAAAGAGAAAATCCATCAGGAAAATATGCAAAGAACATGGGCAGGTGCCCAAGGTTAACAAGTCCTTGAAATGATCCACATCACTAATATTCAGAAGTGCCAAGTAAGACGAGGTACCAGTTTACACCCACCCAACACGCTGGTGCATGTGTAGGTCTTATGCACTGCTAGGGGAGTACAAATCGGTGCAGCCACCCAGTGGGCAATCTGGCAGCACTTAGTGAAACCCAATGAGAGCAAACCATAACCAGTGTGCCTCCTCCTGGGACTATTCCTCAGAGGACAGAGCCCTGGGAGATCTCAGGGAAACAGGCTCACAACAGTCCTGTCTGGGGGCAACCTGGGCATGCATTCATCACTAAGGAATGGAGAAGTAACACATGGGGATGCAGACCATGGGATGCTGCAGAGCAGCAAAAATAAGTCAACTAGATGCATAGCCAGCAATGTGACTGGATGGCAAAAAGTGTATATAACTGAGTGAAAAAACGTACAAGAACATAGAGACAACATACTTTCTACAAATTTACAATACATGTAACTTACCAATGAACATTACTTACATGATTACAGAAATATTGAGAACCATCTAAATAGGGCTGATGGAGTGGCTCAAGTGGTAGAGCACCTGCCTAGCAAACGTGAGGCCCTGACTTCAAACCCCAGTGCCACCAAAAAAAAAAAAAAAAAAAACAACTGTCTATTAAGCACATTTGAATGGCTATCCACCCATAGCTGGGGAGGAGTGGGAACGGGACAGGAAAGGAAGGGGAATGATCAACCAGGGGAGGAGTGTGCACAGAATGACGGAATGATGAGAACACACCATGAACTGACGCACATTGAACTTCCGGACTGATTTCCCTGGTACTTTCCTATTGTAGTGCCTACTAGTTGAAGGTCAAAAAGGAAGTCAAGGCCAAAGTAATCTGTCACTATTGAATGGAAGGAGATTTACCCAGAGTGTAAAACTGCTCACTGTGAAGGGCTGTATTCACTCACATATCCTGGCAACTTTGACTTGCAGTTCAGTTAAAACATCCACACTGGGGAGGCAGGTGGGGTTGAGCATGCCTGTTATCTCAGCACTCAGGAGGCTGAGGCAGGAGAATCACCAGTTCAAGGCCAGTTTGGGCTACCCAGAGAAATCCTGTCTCAAACAACAACAACAGTGAAACCCCATTCATGCTGGGGTAGTGATAAGATGGATGGGCTCAAATATTGCTTCCTCCTGCATGACCATCATCCCTCTAAACCTAAGTATCCTCTTCCGAATTGGGCAACATCCATCTCAACAAACTGTTGCAAGGTGAACTGACCAACATCAAGGGTCTGACTGAGCAGAGCAGGCACACACTACTTCTTTTCCCTTCCATACCTCCACTATCTCTGTACCTCCACACACACACACATTCTGGAACCCAGGGCACTCTCAGAATTGAAAGGAGCCTGAGAGGCACGAGCAGGCAGACCTAGGTACTAGTCCCAGCTCAGTGAGGTGACACTGGCCATGTCTCTCACTTCCCCCTCTTTGGTCCTCAATAAATTTATGTGGCAAAGATCTCTCATTCTTTCTAGCTCTCAGGGGCTATGAGCCTCTGAAATTTGCCTGAAAGCCCTGGGGTCACATGCCTTTGCGTCACTTAAATTTCCAACTAATTCCTGGAAAAACATGGGATGATTTAGATTATACCTTTCTGTACGTACAGGAAACTTCAACAAAAGTCAAAAACTGATGGGTGCTGCTGGTTCGCACTTACAATCCTAGCTACTTGGAAGGTGGAGATCAAGGAAGATCATGGTTCAAGACCAGCTTAGGCAATTAATTCTCAACGCTCTATCTTAGAAATACCCAACACAAAAAAGGGCTGGTGGAATGGCTCAAGTGGTAGAGTGCCTGCCTAACAAGAGTGAGGCCCTGAGTTCAAACCCCAGTGCTGCCAAAAAAAAAAAAAAGTTGAAAAAGTGACTTACAAAAAATAAGCCAGCCTCATTTAACCACAGATTTAAAACAACTACAATTTTACTCAAGTGAGCCACCAGCAATGACTACTGCCATCACTAAGTGAAGGGAAATTGAAATACCACTGGAACTGGGTGAGCAAGCTATTGTGTAAGTACCTCATAATTGCACAGCACCTTGATGCACAAAGCCCTCTCCTTTGAGGGGAATCGCATAGAAATTAAGGACCTAAGACACTTAGAAGCAGGCAGACCACGTATTCCTGCCCTAGTTTTGAAGCTACAAAAAGAGGCACAGAGTAAGGCTAGGCAGACAGGAACTCACAGTCAAAGTTCACACACTGACTTCTGATTCCTACTTTTCTAATAAATGCAAAAGGAAAACTTTCTTTTAAAACCCCACAGAGGGTCAGGCCACCCAGGGGTGAGAGAGGTCTCCATTTCTGCCCCAGTGCTTCAGAGAAAGAGGTAGCTGGGCATGTCTAATTTGTGAGTTCCAATCAATCCATACTATAACACTATTTGCATACCACCACTTATTTCATGGGCCTTTTAGTAAAACAAATGCTTTATGCTGTATTAGCATTTTGTTTTTGTTTTCTTGGGAGAAGAGAATTCATCCCTATGCAGCTGCTCCCCTCAAGAACCAAGTACAGGAAGTTAAGCCTCAGGGGTTTTGGAACAAAGGCTGAGCCAGGCAGCTAGGCTTTGAAGAAGTTCTCTCCAGGGTCAAGCATCTGGAAGTCAACAGACAGAATGCTGCAGCCAGGCTTTCAGCTGACCCCTGCAGTGCCAGGCAGTACCCTGAGCTCACATCCAGGCAGTGGAGCATCATCACTAACCCTCTCAAGACAAATTGCCCCTGAAAGGTACCAACGCACTCACTCTGAGTCCTGAGCTATGAGGTCTCTGCTATGGAAACACTTTATGCATTTGACTTTGCTTGTGTATTATTGTAACATTTAGGGTTCCTTTTAAAATAAAACATAGGGAATGAGCACAGAGCAGGCAGGCAAAGCCTCCAAACTGGAAGGCTCCTGTGCAGCTTTCCCTGTGTTTCAGGAACATGCTCTTCAAAGAGAACAAGGTGCTTAATGCCAACTCTACCCAGCAAAGGTGAAATTGTGCAAATCTCAACACATCCTCCATTCAAGGGCTTGAGAAGTAACCAGTTACCGTCGTTTTCGAAGGATATGAATCCAGATGATCCCGGAAAGGAGGAAGAAAAAGGCCATAGAAATGTATAATTTGGGGAGAGGAATTTCTCCTGCTGAGAGGTAGCTGTCAGGATTCTTCTCTGTGATCTCAATCTGAAACAACAGGAAACTGACTTTTACTTTTGAGTAAGAGGTCACCTCTTATTTGGCAATATGGAATCTAAATGGTTTCATTTACACTTAAGTTACTGAGTACCTCCAAGTAACAGCCACATTCTTACTGTACAGGCTGAAATGGAAACACACTCCAACTGGCTTTCTGGTTTCTTATTTATGAATTCTCTGCTGAAGTACCTTGCCCACTGGCTGATCTGGCCAGTGCTTACCATGTGCAGAGCCCTGGATTTGATCCCTAGCACCAACCAACCAACGCTATTCTTACAGTTTTACAGAGACAAAATCCCGGTACAACAATCTCTATGTGGTACTCACATCAAGGCTGAACGAAAACTTGTCACTAGTGTCACTGCTTGGGCACTTATGGAAATAGAGACTGTAAAGCCCTTCTTGGTCACCAGTGCTGATGTTAAAGAAAAACTGAAAGTGAAAAAGAAAAAACTTGAGGGCAATCAAATCTTCAGCTAACTTTTTACATTTTAGCAATAAATTAGATATTAATGGATAGAAAAAGACTACCAAGCAAGTGCCCCCAGAGCAAAGTTTAAATGGATGATTCCTTATTTACGATCCTTCCCAATGTTTTCTAGCAGCACTCACGCACTGAGAGCTGATGACAGACTTGCACAGTGGATGCCTGGACACTGCTACCTCGATTCTACACCCACGCTTCTCCATAGTAGCTTTACCATGTTTGTCCATCTGCCACGGTTTTCCGCAGAAGTCTTCAAAAACAACCTACCATGCACTTACTTCATTTTTAAGCCAGCATATTATTTTGCTCTTTTGGTAAAAAATATTCTTTAAAAAGAAAGGAAACTCATCTTATTCTTGAAAAAGACCAACAATCTCACCAAAATTTATAGCTGTGATTTTAGACAGTAATAACAAAAGCTACATTTTCTATATTTTTTTCTGTTTTTTCATTTATTTCATGGGTTCAAATGAAGTTTTTGTTTTGTTTTGCCTAGGGTTGTGCTTGGCTATTCATCTTTTTGTTTCTTTCCTTTTCTTTTAATTGAAAGTATATATTGGGCTGGGCACCTATGGCTAACACCTGGAATCCTAGCTACTTGGGAAGCTGAGATTGGGAGGGTTGCAAGTTGATGTCAGCCAGAGCAAAACTTCTTGAGACCCCCATGCCCAAAAGATAACCAGAGCAAAAGAGACTAAAGGTATGACTCAAAGAGTACAGCACCTGCTTTGCAAACACAAAGCCTTGACAAACCCCAGTCCCACCAAAACAAAAAGTGTGTATTAATTGTACAAAGGGGTTTCATTGTGATGTCTATATATGTGCATATAATGTGGTGTGATCAAATTTACCTCCCGTTACTCTTTCTTACGGTAAACTGAAAGACCATACACAGGAACTCAGAACATGACTCCTTGGTCAATTCTAAGAACATTTTACCATCAGCAATCAAAAGGAAAGGAACCTTCTTTAAACATACTGCTTAGGGCCAGTGTGTGCCTAATAAAAAGAGAAGCGAGGGGATGATTACAATTGCATCTCTCATGAGATGCGCTCCTGCAGCTCTGGGAGGAGGCCGGGTTGGAGGGGGGAGGGGTGAGAACACCGGGTTTCTCACCTGCTAGTCCTGCTGTTTCTTGTGCTGGAAGATGGTTATAATTATTTGTTAAACTAAATATAGTATCATACATTCTTTCAAATGAATGCCATTCTCACAATAAGAGTAGGAAAAAAAGACTTCCAACAAGAAAATGAAAATTAAAAAAAAAAAATAATAAGACCACTCATCTGAAATCATTAGCCTGTTAAACCATGTCTAAACCCATGACTGCAAAGGTAAGAACATGCATTTTAGTTGCATCCTAGTAGCCAGGAAAAGAAAACTGTTCTAAAAATATTAAGATTTATTAATATTTTACTTTTATTCATATTTTATTACTGTTAATACTCTTATGAAGCCTACAAACATTCTTAAAGATATAAAAGTTTAAAAGAGATTTTAAAATCAATAGAATCATCACGGTTGGTCAGAGTAGGCATGAGGCTTTAAAGAAAACTACAAAAGAGAACAAAAACATGAATCTAGAGGCAGAAGCATCCCTGGCTGTCCACTTCTGCCTTTTAGGGACAAACTATCACCTGTATTATGTGGGTGACACAGAGAGGCTCAGAGTGACTGCAGGGCTCACAACGGAGGACACTGGGTGCAGGACAAGACATCACCTACTGACTTCTTTCTGAGGAGGGCAGAGCCAGAGGAAAGACGAGCTCTGTCTACTGCTGGTTCCTGCAGTCCACTGCACACTCTGCTTCCTTTCAACGCTGGCCTAACACAAAGCGCTAGTGCCAGAAAAATATGTATGCTTTCCTTTATAATGAAAAAAAGGAGTGCTTGAAAAAAATATCCAAAGAAATCAATTATCCAGCATTTTAAAGTGAGGGACAGGATTGGAGGTATGGCTCAAGCAGTACAGCACCTGCTTTGCAAGCATGAAGCCCTGAGTTCAAACCCTGGTCCTACCAAAAATAAATAAATAAATAAATAAAAATAAAGTGAGGAACAGAAGAGAGAAAGGCACCTCTGATTTTCTCAAAGAAACTGTACAGCAAAATGATGAAACACATGGATGGGCCTGGAGTCAAGCAAACCTGGATCTGATCCCTGCCCCCTTGGAAAGTTCTTTCCTCTCCCTGAACCTCAGTTTTCTCATCTGTGAGAGAGGAATAATAACAGTACCTACTGCATACATTGTTGGGAAGACCATCTGAGATCATGATGCAGATTTACTTAGCACAAGGAATGGTATTCACTCACTCATCTAAGGAATTGCTGGCGAAGAGCCTGTCACGGGCCAGCCCAAGATCAGGAGTTCCACATACATTAGCAATAAACAGATGAAGCAGGCCTGTAATCCCAACAGTCAGGAGGCTAAGACAGGAGGATCTTGAGTCAAAGGTCAGCCTGGGCTACATGATGACACCCTGTCTCAAAACAACTCCCCAAATAAAAACGTTGAGTACACAGCATGTTGCGAAAACACAAAGGAAGAAACAGAGCGGCCTGAAGAGATGTGAGATGAATGTAAAACAGGGTGCTTAGGGTGGCTCTGTTGACAAGGTGCCATTTGGCAAAGATTCAAAGGAGTCTAGGAGACCAGCATAGAGCCAGAGTTGAGCAAGGCTCTATCTTTTCAGGAAGAGAAAGTGGCTCTTGTGGTGGGAGCAAAGTGAGCAAGAGAACGGGAGTTGGGATGAGGGAGACCACAAAAGCCAGGCCACATAAGCCTCAGAAGCCAGTGGAAGGGTGGGGCATTTGTTGAGCAGATTGGACGCTGCTAGAGAAATCTCAGCAAACTTGTACCTCACAAGCTCTCAGTCAGTCAGCTCTCCACACAGACAGTGATGAAGAAGATGGTTACTAGCCAGGCCCCAGTGGCTCATGCCTGTAATCCTAGCTACTCAGAAGGCAAAGAACAGGAACCGATCAAAGTTTGAAGCCAGCCTGAGCAAATAGTTGGAGACACCCTATCTCAAAAATACCTATCACAAAAAAGGGCTGGTGAAATGGCTCAAGGTGTAGGTGAGTTCAAGCCCCAGCACTGCAAAAAAAAAAAAAAAAAAAAAAAAAGATGGTTACTAAACTTGAAGAACATAAAAATTGCCAGATAAGCAAAATACTCTGTAGTGAAGGAAATAAGACTAGTGGTTGTGGGGAGGGAGACTTTTTGAGGGTCTCCCTCAAGAAAACATGAAACAGAGCATCATGACAGAGTGGGTTTGGGGGGGTCACATATTTGTCACAACTGATCAAACTGTATATACACTTGAGATCTGTGCATTTCATTGTACACAAATTATACCTTGGTTAATAATAAAATGCACTTTGTACAAAATGATACTCAGAACCACTCAATAAGAAAGGGTTCATCATTTTTTATTTTTAGATCAGACAGTGAGGTTCAGAAACCAAGTTGTCCAAAGTCACCTAGCTAGTTAGCAGGCTCTGAGACCAATGTGTGAAGCTACACGAGCCGCTCACATGCAGTTAGTAATTGCTGGCTGCGTGGGTCCCTGCAGGCCTCTGGGTCTTGGTGACTCCCCTCTAAAATCACATCCCCCGCAAGCCCACCAATGTCCTTTTTGGCAGACAATTTTACGCTCTGTCACACTCTGAACAGAAGGCAGTATGCTACTGAAGCAGAAGGGTTACAGGAACAGCCAGGCAAATTGGATGGGCCTTGTCACTTACACTGAATGTGGATAAAGTTATTCATTCTCAAAGACTTATGATTTGATAAGCAGGTGGTGATAATATCCGCCTTGCAGGTTTGTTAGAGAGCTATGTATTCAAGTGAGTGATACACAGTCAGTCTACGTTACTATTCCGAAATTCAAAATGCCTTTAAAAATTCACCCTTTTACATGGCAGAGATAAACTCTATTTTACCCCAAGAGAATACATACCTGAAACGAAACTGCCCCATTGTTATTATGAATAGAAAAGGATTTCTCTCCTGTTGCCTAAAAAAGATACAACAATCTGTTTCAGGATTATAGTGGCAAAAAATATTTTAAATATTAAAATTAAAAGCAATTGAAAACATTCTTCAATTTCTAAAATTGAAACCTAAAATTTCTGACCTTCAAAAGCTCTCTGAAAATTTACTGCCCTTTCAAGATAAGTTTGCAATCCCCTTTCATAGGCAAGGGCATCCCCCTTCCCCAGAGCCTTCCTCAGCTCCCTTCTACTCTCCCAGTCCTCCTAACTCTTTCTGTTGAGCATCTCTACTCTACCGCATCTCAAAGACCCAGGGTGCTGCCAGGCATGGCCTGACACAACACCTGAACTCTGTTCCTGACTTCAAATTACCAAAATACTGCATCTGTACAAGAGATCAATACCAAGCAATGAAAAGAAATAAGCTACTAATATATGCAACAACGTGGGTGAAGTCAAAGTGATGCTGAAGGAAAGAATAAAACTGAGTGTGTACCACACAATTCATTTCTATAAACTTCTGCCAACCTAATACCTAATCTATACTACAGTGACAGATCCGTAGTTGTCTGGGGGATGGAAAGACTGCAAAGCAGCAGGAGAAACTACTGAGGTGACCCCCCACATTCATTGTCTTCACTGGTTGGCAAGTCAAACTATCAAACTCCCAATTTAAATCTGTGCGTATATTATGAGGCACTTATAGCTCAGCGGAGCTGTGGAAACCAAACTCTGCCACTGAAACACTGCCCTCACTGAAACATCAAGATGACCCAAACTGAAACTTCCTCTACTTTTCCTTTCCTATTTCCACCACCTGCTTCTCTGTAAAAACCTCTCTCTTCCCTTTCTGTCCACCACCCCTCCAACCTGGCCTCCCAGACAGATCCCTTATTTCACACTTCGAGGTCCTATACTAGTAGATTTTCACGCTTTAAACCTGCATTGTCACAATAGGCTCTTCCTGTTCCCTCTGCCGTTGCTCTCCCTCCCCGAGGCTACCTTGCCCAGTATATTCAGAATGATGGTCTTCAAAACACACTGTGTTCATCACACTGTTTTTCCAGATCAAAACTCATGACAAGTTCCCACTGCCCACATGGCGATGCCCTGTTGTCTACCCTTGTGTTATCTAAGGCTTCTGTTTCTCTCTTTTCTCTCCAATATGTGCCCTTCACTTCACAAGGCCAGCGTGCCATGCATCCCGCCATCCAGTCTTTGCTTATGCCACTTTCCTCTTTCCTTCTCCTCCTCGTCTCTGAACATACTCCAAGCTCAGCCCTGGAGACATCTCCCAGAGGCCTCCCCAGATGGCTTAGCTTCCCTCTCCTCACCACCAGGCCCTCTATCATATAAGAGCTAAACAATCTAGCACTCAAGTTTTATTTTTCTGTGAAAAGATGGATTGCTACTCAACAAAAGTTAACAGCAATAGCCTGTATTAAAATAAGGCAGAGCTTTTACAAATGGTTGCATACTCAAGCCTTCTCCCAAGAAAACGGCTGTTGCAACAGACTAAACACAATTGATAAACAGTCCTTTACCATAACAAAGAAAATACAAATGAACTAAAAGAAAGCACTGGTTTCTCCTAAAACCAGATTATAGTTGTCAAGCACTCGATCTTGCTTTGAAATTGTTTCAGTATGACAACACAGTCTCCCCAAACAAAAGGCAACTCCTGGTAGATCAGGCAGGCGAATGTATGTCTGTGTATGTGTGCATGCATGTATGTGTGTACATATAAATGTACAAGCACACCAAGCACACTACACAACACACACAGAAAAGCTGAGCACAAGTGGGTGCTTAGTTCTTACCTTTGAATCCACTGTACTTCTTTTAGACTTTCCACTGTCTAGAAACACAAACATTTAAAAGACATAACTGCATGATCAACTCATACATATTACCCTACTATTTTTTGAGGTTCCAGCTTATTTAATAACAAAGTTATAATAAACAAACAAGAAAATCTTATGGACTGCCATCTCCTCAGGTCCCAAAACATAATTCTTGAGCTGCAGAAGCAGCAAATCAAAATGTGTTATAATACAAATGTTATCAAATAAACGCCAATAGTTAGAAGCAACAGAGGAACTCGTTTCTGAGTAATCTAGTATATGCTATTGTCACAGATGCCCTGTGGAATAACTTTCCTTATTTTCTAAGTAATCATGTTTGAAAACAGGTAATTGTTTAAAAACATACAAGATTTACTCGCACATGGGAAAATTAACAGCAAATAATATCATTATCCTTTGGGTTTTTGTTGTTGTTTTGGTGATACTGGGGTTTGAACTCAGGGCTTTGTGCAAGCTGTGCAGGCTCTCTACCACTGAAGCACACTAATGCACACTTTGTTTCCCCACAAGAAAGTGTTAAGATTGCTAGCAACTTCTTTCATAGACCCAAGTAGGTGTTTGTGCCTTATTTCTACCTAAGATATTCTTCACAGGGATGGCAGGAGGGCAGCTGTAGGAAGTTTCAAGGTAACAAGAATGGTTATGTGAGCACAAGGAACCTGGGCAAGAGCATGACCCTAAAATAAACCACTACACAAAGTTGGTACTTCTGTATGACTTAATTTGGGTCAAGTTTCGACAAACTGAGAGGAAATGTGTAAGTGATACAATATTAGGAAATTATCGTTAAAGAACTCATATAAATCATTAGGTGGACATGACATTAATTAAACAAGACAGCAAGTACATAAACTGGCTAATCAACATATGAAAAAAGTACGGCCTCAATAAAAAGAGTGAAAACAAGAACAAGAACACCTTTCTTGCCTTTTATTTCAGGGTTTTTTGTTGTTGTTGTTTTGAATTTGGGGTCTTGTTGACCAGGCTGGTTTTGAATTCCTGGGCTCAAGTGACCCTCCTGCCTCAGTCTTCAAAATAGATGTGTGCCAGTATGCCCTGAATTTTACAATTTTATTTTATTTATTTTCTTTTTGGTAGTACCAGAGTTTGAACTCAGGGCCTAGAACTTGTTAGACAGGCACGCTACCTCTTGGCCCATGCCCTTAGTCCTACAATTTTTTTAAAGAAGAAAATACCCAGAATTGACTAGGATACAGTGATGATTACTACTCCTATGTATTTCTGATGGGAGAAAGGAATTTCAGAATGTGTGTCAGTATTCTCAAAACTATTCTTATCCTTTGAACCAGAAATTTCAGTTCTGGTAACCCATCCTAAAAAATGTTCTATACATACAAAAATTTGTATGCTGGTAGAATGGCTCAAATGGTAGAGTGCCTACCTCATAAGCATGAGGCCCTGAGTTCAAGCCCCAGTACAACCACCAAAAAAAAAAAAAAAAGAAATCTAATGCAGCAATATTTGTAACAGCATGGAAGTGGAAATGTGTCTCCTTAGGGGAAAGGTTGAACAAACGACAGAATCCATTTAATAGGATATTCAGTAGGTATGAAATACATGAATAGTCATACATAGAAAATTATAAGCATACCTGTGAATTTTAAAAAGCAAATGTTCTGGACTTAGGAAAGCAACTATCAAGAAAGCCCAGATCACTAAACCCTAACACTGGGAATGAGGAGAAATGACTGCTCTTGTTCCCTATGTATTTCCCACATTTTTCTTTGATGGCTACACATTTTGTATAAATTTCAAAATAAAATAATGCTAAGACAATGACAGATCGTGTCTGTTCTCACTGAGAAACAACAACTCCACCAAGTAGGGTGGTGAGAATTAAATGGTGCACCACACAGTTTACCTTGTGCTTTCTGAGTCTGGTTGCCTGCTGGGCCGGGGTTCACGTTAGGATTCGGGCTCTGACCAAGGATTTTCTCATCCTTGCTGAGGATGATCTTTGGAAACTGGATACCAGCTTCTGGTGGAGATTTGATTTTCACCCTACGTTCAAATGAGAAAACAGAGAACACTGAAAGCAGAGCTCCGGCTCTGTCGAGCTCACCTGTGTTATCCTGGTGACTTCCAACATACATCTACTATCCCTATCTCACAGACACTGAAACTGAGGCTCAGAAAGGTCAAAGCACTTCTCCGTGGGCTGTGGATGTGGCTCAGTGGTAGCATGGTCACCTAGCCCCAGACCTGGGGTTTGATCCTCTACCCAAAAGAACTTGCCAAGGGCAGCAAGCTAGGAAGCACCAGGGTGAGGTCCTGTCAGCCTCGGTCTAAAGCTGGGTTCTCAGTAATTGCATAGTTTTGCTGTACATGTTTTCCTCTAAGTAGTTTTTTTTTTGGTGATACTGGAGTTTGAACTCAGGGCCTTACCACTTGCTAAGTAGGTGCTCTATCACTTGAGCCTGTCCTAATCAGCAAATCGGTGCAAAGGGAAAGGGAACAAGACGTAGAACACTAGTAAATATGTTAAAGTGAAGCCTTGGGGCACATGAGCGGGGTCGAGGGCACTACTGCCTGTCTACTGTCCATTTCCACCTTTCCTCCTTGTAACAGAGCCATCTTGTTTACATCATCCCAACTCAGAGGGGCGGGTTTCTATGCCTGAGTGGACACATGACCTAAGCTGGCACTCTCAGTCAGGTACTTCCCAACAGGTACTTCATGAGTTCTCTTGCCTCTCCCTCTTGTCTGTATACAAATGATGAAGCAAAGCCATCTGGAGTGGCTGGGGACACATGCCTGAGGAAGAAGCTGACTCTCAGCATGGCAGAGCAGAGATGAAAAGCAGCAAGTCGCTGCTGACCTGCCTAAGCCCACCTGTCACTCTGAACTTCAGGTAGGTGAGGGCATCCTGTCCTTACTACTTCAGCCAGGCTAGGTCAAGTCTTTAGCTGCTTGCTGTCAAACACACAAATACAAGAGGCTGTCAGACTTAATTTTCTTAGATGAAAACAGAGTAATCACAGGGAATATCTATAGAGCTAGACTCACAATGGTGGGTTTTTTTGTTTGTTTGTTTTTAAAGAAGATTCTTCATCAAAAATATAAAAAAAGAGGCAGCTTCCTGCCTTTCATCCTATTCTTCTCAAATTTGCCTGCCCTGAACTGGTAGTGACTGGCCTTGAAAGCAGCACGTCTGAGCACACTGTTCCTAGCTTGAGCTTGAAACCCTTTAAGGTTCCCTCCCACAAGGGAGCCACCCAGCGGTCAGTGAAAATGGGCTGAACTTGAAAACATAAACTCCTATACCTCACCTACATCCAAATGTTTGAAAAAGACTCAATAGGCAGGAATCCTCCCCAACAAGTTTTTGGAGGGACTAGGGATTGATTTCAGGGCCTCACACATGCTAAGAAGTGTTCTTCCAGTGAGTCACACCTCCAGCCCCTCACCAACAATCTTATGAGGCAGATCCACTTATGAGCTAGGTGAATGCCAGAATCACACAGCCTGTGAGAGGCAGAAGCCACTCTCTGGGTCCAGTCCTCTTTCTCTGTAAGCGTATTCTCTATCAATACCAAACTTGCTTCCTGGAAGCACCACGCTACTCCACCCTCTCTGCTTTGCACAGATGATGCCCCCTGGCAATGCTTTTCCCTTTCTTCCTTTTATTCTTCATCTGGTAAAAGTCAAGTCATCTGAAGGCTGTTTGGACCTGAAGCCTTCTCCTCTAGAAGTTTCTCTCTTCTCCTCTACCAGGCCTCTACTTTTCTGTGACTGTTTACACTGCTCTTCTGTCTCCTCCACTAGCCTGCAAACTCCTCAGAGACAGGCCCTTGGCCTCCCTGAGTTTCAGCATCAGCACGGCATTGGCACACAGCTGCCACCCAGTTAATGTCAGTGTATACTAAATGCTCCCTGGCTGCACTCTAGAGTTGAAAGAACTTTAGAATTACTTACTCACTTCTGGAGATGTCTAGGATTAGAAGGATGACAGAGGCAGACTGTTTCCTTAAAATACAGTAATTGGCATCTTCATCCTAAGAAAGAAGAGCCAGTTGTACATCATCTTACTCATGCATGAAAGCACACTGTCAGGCTTTCAGGAACAAGGCAATTAAGTAGCTCAATCTCCATTCTAACAGTGAACCCACTGTGGGGCTCCGAAACACCTGTGAGTCAAAGCAGCCACCACTTTAGGAAGCAGCAGTGCACCAGGGTGTTCCGCTCAGTGTGCTGGGCACAACAGGGTGTCACTGGACACTTACCAAGTAAGAAGAAAAGCCATCATTCTTTGTCCGGTCTAGGCTGAATCCAATCTAAAGGGGATGGTGAAAAGAGGAAAGGTAAGTTTCCACACAACAGTCCGTACCTTCTTACTCAAAGAGCAGAAAAGGAGGTTTATTTCACCTGGCTTCTTCCCACTTTTCTTAGCATTCATTTTGTAAGGAAGCAGTAACTGCTCACGTTAAACCATTAAGTACTGCATTTATTCATGAATGACAACTCAGGGCTGGGGGTACGCTCAGTGACAGAGTGCTTGCCTAGCAAGGCAAGGCCCTGGGTTTAATCCCCAGAACCACAAAAAAAAAAAAAGCAACTTCAATGTTCACAGTAAAACTAACTGATGGCTAATTTTGGTACTTACAGTTGAATTGTCTCCACATTGTGGTACTTCGTATTTGAGTGTCTGAGCTAACAGATGAGCCCCACCCATCCTGGACAGTTACTTACTGCAGCATCCTTGTCTGCTCCTGCATGCTCGCTCACTGAGAGGCTGCTGACGTTAACCACCATATATCCATCCTTGAAGAAGCCAAAGGTGTTCAGGTGAACTTTGTGCCTCACGTCATCCTAAAGAGATTTGTGGGCAGAGTGAGTAATACGGCAAAGTTAACTTTTGATTATTTTACCCTATTCCTTCACTTGCTTGAAAAACTATGGTACCCAGTTTCTTACTAACCAGCCAAAGTTCCCATATGCTCAGGGATATACACAACCATGGCAACTTATCTTTCTCAAGGCTGAAGACAACTCCTCAGAAAGCTGTAAGATAGTAACAGTTTTGCAGATGGAAACACAATGGATGCAACTCACACCACTGCACTGTGTAGGTTCTGAGGCAAACTCCATGCTCAGCTGGGATGTGCATTCTAAGGCAGGAGGAACCCTGTTTTAGTCTCAAGCATCCTTCCTGACAGCACAATACGTAGCATCCAGTAGGCCCTCAAAACACACTGGGGGAGTAGGAGGAAAGGAGCAGCCAAAGCTCCTCCTAGAATTCACCCATGTCCATACAGCTTTGTGTGCACCTGCTCCTCCCACTGTGGGATGAACAATAGGTAGTACAGTCAACTTTCCAATCTCTCACTCAATTTTTTAAAAGGTAATTTGTACCTAAAAATGACGTAACGGGTTTTCGGGGGAAGAAATTTATGCCAAAGGAATCCCAGGGACTAGTCAAGTGTAGTTACAATCTGCTGAACACAGGGAAGTCCTGAGTTTTTTTGAAATTGCAGCCTTGAGTGGATGTCCACCCCTGCCTGGCTCTGCCTCAGGGTTAGGACTGCAATCTCAACCAAGTCAACACATTCCAAGGCCAGAAGAATGGCAACAAACACTTCTAAACCTGGGATGCCACAAGTTACTTGATATTGGGTAGAATTACTGAGAATTATGTCCAGAAGTATTTGTCTCAATTGCAACCCCTTAAGTAAGTATGCAATCTGACTGTATCAGAGGTAAGTTTTTATTTCTAAATTTGGAATCTCCTGGTCAACACCAAAGGCCTGTGAAGAGAGGCTGTGGATCAGGTCTTCAGCAGAAACCCTATATACCACATCTCCTCAGGTGCCCTTAGCACATTTTATGGCCACTAAGAGGGCTTACTTCCTAGCCCTCTCTCCCAGTGAGGAACACAGAGCTGAGAGTCCATTTGCCCTTAGCACTACTGAAAGCCCAAGGCTCTTGCCACAGTTTCTGCAGTGCCTCAGGGCAGCCTGGCTTCCTCTTCTTTTACCTGCTCAGTTCAACTTCCTCTCCCCTTCTGCTGGCCCCTGGGAATTTCCCTTATTTTCTTAGGAGCTCAGTTATGCATTTAGAGCAATTTGGCTGGACTTTCACTTCCCAGTGGGAAGGAGTAGCTTGAAGCAAACCCACACCCCCACAGGGAGGAGGAAAAATGCCAGACAAGATGACAGTCATCTGCTGGCAGGCAACGGAACTGCTAAATGGGGAAAAAAAAAAAAAAAAAACAGAAAAGCTAAGGCTGAGCTAAGCTAAGCTGGCTGTCTGAAGATTCCGAGAGAATGTGCCCCTCAGAATGACTTGAGTGCCTGTTTGCTTCCAAAAACAGTACATGCTACTACCGTTCTAGAAGCACAGGTTAGAAATAAATTAAACTACACACAATGCAAACTAGTGGCCTTAGAGCATTCAGGCCTAACTGTCTGACAGACAGATCCCTAGCTGAGTAAGGCAGCATTACAGAGGAGAAGAGCACACACAGAAGTCCTGCTGAATACAACCATGTGGATGAATGCAGATGTGACAAGGGGCAAAGCATGCCACACTCAAGCCAGGCACCAGTGGCACATGCCTGTAATCCTAATTACTCAGGAGGCAGAGATCAGAAGAATCACAGTTCGAAGCCAGCCTGGGCAAATAGTTCAAGAGACCCTATTTTGAAAAATCCCTTCACAAAAAAGGGCTGGTGGACTGGCTCAAGGTGTAGGCCCTGAGTTCAACCCCCAGTACTGCAAAAAAAAAAAAAGCCACACTCACATACAGCAAATGCAAATGCAGGAGTTTGTGGGTCTGGTGACAGGAGTCAGGATGACAACCACTTCCCAGAGAAAGGGGCTTTCCAAGCACTTGAGGGAAGGTGGAGGCTTAAGGCATTTCTAGAGAGACATGGTGACCTCCTCTTGCTGGCAGCAGTGTGTGTGAATAATTTCCATCATGTATACTATATATGTCTGTTCTACAAAACTTAAAACTTAAGAGCATGCTTCTAATTCACCAGCCTGCAGGAACGGAATGGTGGTAAGTACTTTTATATTCCTTTAGTCTACTACAATGCTCATTTTCTAGCTTGTTTTGTTTTCATGGTGCTGGCTACAGGAATGCTTTCCCATTAACTTCTGCCTCCAGGCCTCTAGCTGTTTTTCCACATCAGGACATCCCTTTACTACCTGCTCATACCTTTCCACCATCATTTCACTTGATGACACAATGACATTAGAAAGAGGTTTTAGATAAATATTTAGAGGATCATAGTAACATCACAAATGCTAGTTTCTGCACTTTTCAAGAACTAGGTTATGGATTTTTTAATCCTCACTCAGGCCGGTGAGGGGCCTCAGAGGAATTGATGGCTCAAGACCACCCAAGCTCTAAGTGGTAATGTTGGGCCCCAGCACCGACCTGGCATGCCAGCATCTCAACACCACTGTCTCCTCATGTGGAAAAGGAACAAAGAGCAGAATTCAAACTACATTCAGAAAGATTCCCAGCACTCAGAGGCTGAGGCCGGAAGATTCAGAGCCTGAGACCAGCCTAGATTACCCCCATCTCAAAAAAACAAAACAGGGAAAATCCACAATAACAACAACAAAAACAGGCATATATATATATGTATACATATATATATATATGTATACATATATATATATATATTTAATTGCAAGACTTGAAAGAAACTCACGAAACTATGAAAAGGTTAGTGCAAGTACATCAGGAGTAATACTTCTCAAATTCTTTCCTGTATTTTCTAAATCTGTAACAATGCTCGTGTACTAATATAATTAGAAGAAAATCAAATACTGTTTTTGGGTGGAACTGGGGCTGAGCTTACCAGACAGGGACTCTACCACTGCAGTCACACCCGCAGCCCTTTTTTGCCTTTGTTATTTTTCAGATAGGGTCTCATGTTTTTGCCTGGGACCTCAGACCACATTCCTGGGAGTACACAGTGCGCCATCTTGCATGGTTTAATTGTTCAGATAAGGTCTTGATAACTTTGTTTTGGCGGTACTGAGGTTTGAACTCAGGTTCTCATGCTTGCTAGGCAGGTGCTCTCTCTACTACTTGAGACACTCCACCACCACATTTTTGTGATGGGCTTTTCGAGATAGGGTCTCACAAACTATTTGCCTACGCTGGCTTTGAACAGCCATCCTCCTGATCTCTGCCTCCTGAGTAGCTAGGATTACAGGTGTGAGCAACCAGCACCTAACTAAGGTCTCAATAACTTTTTGCCCAGGCTGGCCTCTAACAGTGATGCTCCCAATCTTCAACCCCCAAGGACCTGGGATTATCAATTGCTATTTTTATAGAATTACCATTTGCCAGTAATACTGGAGGGCCTCCACGTAATCTACTGTCTCTATTTGAAGCCGTCATGTCACATTATCAACGTGACGTTAAGGTATGTATGGAAGCGACTGTAAATCACCACACAATATGAATTATAGAGACAGGAATCTCAAACCTTGAAGCGATCAGGAAGGATATACATTTGAATCACTCCTTGAGCTGAGATGTGGCTCAGTGGTGGAATGTCTGCCAAGCATGTGCAAGGCCCCAGGTTCCATCCTCAGCACCACAAAAACAAAAGGCAAATAAACAACCTCATTCAACTTTATTTGATCCAAATCAATGTAAATAAACTAAGATGTATAGGACATCTTGGCTGAAGTCCAAGAAATGAAACAAACCCAGTCCCAGAGACGATCAGTCTGAAACTCTCCACCGCCCAGGAGCAAAGAGGCCTTTCCTGGTTTCCACAGGGAAAGCAGGCATCCTGATACCAGGGACAAGCGCCATTACTCAGCCAGCAGCTGGAGGCGGAATCCTTAGCATCCCCATCTCTCCCTCCACTGCTCTCCTACAAAGGCAGGGAGGATTTGCCACAGCACCACCAGGATGGCAACACCAGACACCAGCAAGGCAGACTCAGTTACAGTTTCCTTCTTCCTTTTCCTCTTTGGCAGGATTGGGGTCCGAACTCAGGGCTTCAAGCTTGCAAGGTAGATGCTATAGCACTTGAGTCACATCATCAGTCTAGTTACATTTTAAACAACCACCCAGTCATTTCCACTAGCACTGATCCAGCTGTGAGGTTTGTATATTTTCCCAAAGAACCTGGGTCTGAAGCAGTTGACCTTGAATCCAGAGCTGCACTTATGAGCTTTATGAATCACCATGCAGGCTTATAAGTCTGTGAGGCAGGTGCAATTCTGCTCCTTACAGATGAGAAACCTGGCTGAGAGAGGTAAAACAAGCTGCAAAGAGGCAGGAGCAGAACCGGTGTCCTCACTGAGGTGCTTTTAACCACCTTGCTGCTTTCTACAACCAAATAAATAGCATAACTTGTGAACTTCACTTTGTATTATAGGAAAGTGGAAACAATCTACTCATGATCAATTTTTTTCCTCTACACTCTCTCCCTCCCAGACATCCGATCACCCCATCTAATACTCCACTGTGTCTCCAATAAGGGCTTTAAAAAGTAACAACAGCATTGTATGCTCTTTTTGTGTGCGTGTGTGGTACTATGGGTTGAACTCAGGGCCTCTCTAACTATTTGCACGGGCTGGCTTTGAACTGCGATCCTCCTGATCTCTGCCTCCTGAGTAGCTAGGATGACAGGCTTGAGTCACCGGCACCCAGCTGGTAGACACATCATCTGAAAGCAGTGGAACAACCACCCTAACATCTTGCAGGTATCATTGCAACAAGGAAGCAGGCATTGTCTGATGATGTCCTATGAAGCAATGTAAATTAATTTATACTTAATTTATCAGAGAAAATGCAGCACCTGACTACTCTGCATTATTTCAAATTATTCTGAA